TGAAGGCAGCACACCTTCTACCTGGTGCAAAATTGTCCTTTGGACAGAATGTTTTTATTATAAGGCAGTGTTCTGCACATGTAGCATAAAGCCCAATTACAGAAAATTGGCAAATAGTTAGGACATACATGTGCCAAAAAAAAGACTTCAAAGCCATGATGCAGAGCCCAGGGGTCTCAATGCAAAGTTTTTCTAAGCTTAAAAAAACAATGTAGTGTGAAACCTGTCAGATTTCAATTTTCCCACACACACAAAAAGTGTCTCAGGGTTTGGCATGGGAGCGTGTTTAAAGCGTAAGTAAGAGACTAATGAAAAGGGATGGTTAAACATTGGCTGTGTTTTTCATATGACGCAACAAGGAGGAAAATGGAATTGGGAGCCAAAGTAGCAAAAGCTCATGTGTAAAAAGCAGTATTATGCTCACAGGGATGGGATGCCATAAGAAAGAGAAGAGTTGTGCTGGAAATATCCCTTAAAGATAGGTCCAGTCTTGTTCCAGCAGACATTTGTGTGACATTGAGGAAATGTCCTAAGAGGGTTGGATACACAAACCTCACTTTCTGTGGACATCTGATTCCCCTTATCTGCTGGACAGCATGTCCCTGCTTTCACTGGTACATTAAAACGAATTCTGTCTCCCCCTGCCGACAGTTTTGAGTACTTTACTCATGCTGATTGCAGGGAAGAATTTGGATCGGGAAGAGATCGGGACACCACCTACTGGTGGTTCTCAGCCTTCCTTGCGGGCCCAACATTCTCAAAGACAGTGCTTCCTTGGTACCCACTCCACCACCCCGTCCCAGGAGGCCAAGGGCGCGGGAGCATCCTGCAGGCAGATTTATCAGAAAGATGGGGGTGGGGGTGGGAGCAGGCAAGAGGGGTGCCGTCTGAAAAAGTGACCCCAGGACATTTTGGGTTGCCCCCTTAAAGAGGGTTTCTTTTTCTTCTTGAGGATCACTGGATCCACAGACGATCCCTATTCTAGACTTTGGGAAATCCTAAAAACAAAGTTAGTGAAGACTGTTGAAATCAAGCGCACCAGAAGCAATGATTCCTATGTCCTGTTCCTATCCAAAACTCGACTGCACATCCCCCTCGCCCCGTTCACACTCTTCTTGGATTGGAAAGTAGCTGTGGGCCGTTTCTGTGCCAAGAGCATTTCTTTGTTTAATACAAGAAACTAACATGCAGGTTATGAGTGTGTCAGGGCAATGCACACAGAGGACTGTCTGTTTTGCACAAACCAGTCTATGAGTGAGTATCCTTAGTGGTCCTCTTCTCCTTTCTTTGATCATATTACCAAGATGAAAGAAATAGATTTTTCTTGATAAATAACCTAATATTAATAATACAGTGTTGTAAATTTTGCACACCCTTCCTACCACCTCACCCAAACTCTCCCAACCCGTGCCAAATATCACCACCCAGTTTCTTCTTGAGGGAGTTTGTGGTTCTAGTCTACCTTAAAGAGGACATTTATCTATTTTTATTTTCCAGCAACATCAATATGGTGCTATAAATAGAGCTGTGACCCTGGCATAAACCAAGTTCATGTTATACTTAAGAGTAATAACAATATTTATAGTAGCCAGAACTTCTTGAGCAGCTATTATGTGCCACATTCTGTGGTATTGCTTTATATATATCATATGCCTTGTTACCTCAATCTAGTCATTAGAGACAAAGTAGTGGAATTACCAATGGATTGATGGCTGTTTTCAAGAGTCTTTTTTTTCTAGATCTAGCTCTTTTATTCAATCTAATATGTGACCTTGAGCAAGTCATATCTGGGCCAGAAAGGGGGCAGGTTATTGGGTGGAGATCTGAGTGGAGGGGTAGAGGTCAGTGATTGCCAAGATATTTTTCTGCTCAAAAATATTTGTGATTTGAAATAGATCTCCAAGCCCTAAAGTAAGTGAGTCAGTAGGCTTCTGATTGGTTGCTGATATGGTAGCAGCTTTATTACTCATTATTGATATTTAGCATTATAAATTCCAGGATTAATTTAATCAAGGGGGGGTAAGTATAATTCAGGACACTTAAATTTGGAAATGAGGGGAGTGATTTTCCTCATTTTATGAGTTATTTTATTCCATTTTATGGGAATTTGTTATTGTAATCCAGTAACTCAGAGACTCTTTCAAAGTGCTTACAAAAGCAGAAGCTTTCTTTTATGTTTATATAGGAAGGAAATTGAAGCATAAGTGGCATTGGCTTATTTTGACTCATTTATTTCAGTGTCTGACAATGGTATTCATTATACTATCAGGGTAAGTGAATGTATTTCCATAAAGGAAACTAATATGAAAATTTCTATTGGACTTGGTAATCAAGCATTTGCTAAGATACTGCTTGTCAGAACTGGGATTTAGTGAGAATTACTAGAAATGTAAATAATCAATGTATCAACTTGGTTATGAGTTTTACTGTGTAGTTTTTTCATAGGCATATTTCCATTATAACATTATGTACATTTTTAAATGAATTGATGATGTAAAGAATGTTGGGAAAATATAGAACAGATATCTGGAAAGTTTCTCTGTCTTTATAGAAAGATTGGTTTTTATATTTGACTAAAGCACTCCAGTGGCTTCTTGCTCAATATTCTAAATTTGGAACATCTATTTCTCATCCTGTGGCTTCCACCTCCTTACCAAAGAGACTGAGGTCATTTGTGCGGCCTTCATCCTAGGAGATTCTATAATAATGTGCCTGTAAAAGTGAAAGAGGCAGAGGAGGGTGTGAGAAAAGGGAACTGGGTGCTTCTCGCTCAAGCGAGAAGGAAAAGTCTGCTGTGCCTGTTCCAGGCACTTGGCCTTTTGTTGGCAGCGTGGCTTCTTGAAGGGAAGGACCTTGGGCTTCAGACAGACACGGCTTCCCACTTGCCTGGCTCACTCATTGTGAGGCTGGAGTTTTGGCTTCTTCCTCCTGTGGGTGGTTGAATAATATCTACCTAATGGAATCCGTGAGGTGCTAAAACAGATTGTGGATGTAAAGTGCCTGGCACTGGAGAGGACTCAGTCACTGTTGTGTTTTCCCAAGAAGGCTCTGTGACCCTGTGAGGAAGTGGGAAAGGCAAATGAGGCACCTGCTTTATATAGTGTGGCTGGGTTCATTGTCATCATAGTTAAGGTTTATTGAATACTTCCCAGCATCAAGTTCTAATGCATGGAATGCTCCCAGCAAATTTATAAGGTAGGTTCTGTTATCCCCATTTCAAAACTAAGAAAACAGAGGTGTAGATAAGTTAAGTGATTTACCCCAAGTCATATGATAGGAGTGGCAAAGCCAGAGTTTGAACTCAAATTTGACCCTAAAACCCATACTCTGAATCACCCCCTATACTGCTTTCCTACCGCACAGGAAGGTAAAGAGCTCTGGAGAAAAGCAGTGAAAACAGGATGAGAGAGGAATATCAGCCAGGGCTAAAGATGTATTTGCAAGGGAAACTTTTGGTTTAGGGAAAGAGTAAACTAATAAGTTCTCCAGACAAAGGATTTGCATAAATGTTTTTGTAAGCAGAGTCTTGAGGTTCCAAACCGAGGCGAGAAGTTACTAACTTTCTGATAAGGTCAAAACATGTGGTTTTAAACTAACAATTGGTGAGGTTATTTCTAGAGTATACACCAGGTGTGGGGTGAAAAGAGGGAGAATTTGGCCCTGAAACATATTGCTTAGATTAATCCAAAGACCATTCAGATCATCTGATTCTGAATCTGAAAGCTCTTGGCTCCATATACTTTATACAAGAAATTTACTTCTTAATCTAGGACTGTAGAAAAATATTCAGAATGTCCCACTATTTTAAGTGGGACATAACTCTCTTGTTATCAGGCACTTTTTTCCTTCCTAATGCTAAGTACAAAAAAATCTGCTGGACCTAGAAGAAAAGACCTATAATAAGGGCAACTTCTAGTAGAACTTATTTTTTCTGATAAAATTAAAGTTTAATTTCTATGTAGCTTACTTTAAAATTTATATTCAGAAATTCACCAGTACTGTACTTGTCGTGTGATAGAAAACAACAATAAACTTGAAAAGTTTTACAAGTGAGGGACTTGGAAGATCTTACAACTGAATGAAGGATGTAACATAAAAATCAGAGGAATTTCACGTAGAAGAGATATGAGTGATAGACGTGATACTCACTTAACATATAAAAGTCTTATTCATTTAGTAGAGTCCTTTCTTAGAAAAAAATCATATAGAATGAATTTCTAAATGAATCATATTTTACATATTGACTCATTATATATTAGATACATTCTAATTATATAGTAGAAGGAACATTAAAATTTTCAGAATTTAAAATGCCTCATAAAACTATATCTCAAAGTAAATAATCAATTATATGTCAAAGTAAAGGAATCAAATTGCCCATAAATAAAATTAGACAGAGAAATATCTAACAGAAACTGTAGTACTATAGTATACAATATCTGGCTTTTATGGCTGAGCCATAGAACTGTTTCCAATTTCAACATTTGCCCGATAATATCAACACTAACTGAATAGCTAATGCTAAATCCTACCAAAGACAAAATATGTGCTCATTTACCTGGATTTAGTAACATGTTACTACTTACCTGACAACTAAAATGTAAATTTCTAATAGGTGTGCAAGGATTTAGTATTAGATTTTTGAACCAATGTAAAGATCATCTGGCTAATATTGGCATCATTTATAGACACACACACATACTAACACACATATGATAATATCAACACTAACTAATAATATATTATAACTAATAACTAATAATATAATATTATTAACTAACAACTAATAATATAATATTATATATTATACATTATACATTATATATTAATGTATATGTTATTTAAAGATGTAGTTATATGTACAGAAGAGTAATGAAATATCTAGAATAAAATGGATTAACCTAGGAAGAGCTCATGAATGTATTAAAAACAATACATTCTGTGTTAGGGACACAGATCTTTATTATATTTTAAAAACATTTTTGTTTATTTTTTAACAGGTTGTTTGGTATCAAATCAGTAATTCAAACAGACTGTTCCAGCACATGGAAGATCATAGCAAACCCAGACCTGTCATGGTACCACCATGCCAACCCCATCCTGCTGCTGGTGATGTACTACACGCTGGCCACGCTGATCCGCATTTGGCTACAGGAACCCCTTGTAAGGATCAAAGGTTTTTGTGATTTTGTCTGCAAAGTAACCTGGAAAACTCCAGGTGAAATGGTTCATTCCTGTTAACTGCTCACTAATCAATACTGTATTCCCAAATAACTATAGTGTCCTGCTTATAGTGTTTTTTGATTCTACAAACTGTACCAAGTACAAATGCTATCAGAACAAAGGCTAGCTACCCTTTGATAACATCAGCATGTGCTGCTAAGAATGATAGGTGTTGAGAAGGGAAGACTCATTTTTACTGAGCACTTACTAAGTGCCAGGCTGTTTACATGCTTCATCTCTTTCAATCCACCAGCTACTCTGCAGAGTAGGTATTGTACCCATCTTAGAGATGAGGAAAATGAGGTGAGAGTGGTAAAGTGGTCTGAAATCACACACTCACTGAACAGTAGAAATCAGATTCAAACTAGTGTTTGACAAGAAAGCTAGGGTCTCACTGACTATATACCCTGTTATCTCCGTGATTGGAGTTTTCCAAATTTCTCAGGCCTCTAACCTACCTCTAAGCACTAATGGCATGATAGGACTTCAGTGTAAGAAGCTCAGTTGTTTTGATGGTTAAAACATGTTCTGAGGGAGAAAAACCCCTTTATCTTTGTTTAAAAGTAATTAAACATTGCTTTGTTGTACTTGTGCAGTATTGACAGCTGCATTATACCGTAAATGTGAGGGAAAATCCACTTAGGAAATGATACACTGCTGTTTCAGGCACTGGCTTTATCGTAGTTTCAATTAGTGTGAGTATGTTAATGTGTGATAGATGGTGGAAAAAAGTTATGTTTTAAAGTGCTACTTGTATAAACGTTTTCTCTTTATTCAAATAACCATGGATTTTATGCAGAGTTTTTATAAATCTTGGATTTACCAGACTGTCTTTTGACTGTCTGTGGGTTTTGTAGAAGTTATACATTTTTATGGTAGATAAAGTATTACTTTAAAAAAAAAAAAAAAAAAAGCTCAGTCATAGGCAGCTTGTTGGTACCTGAGGCAGGCAAGTAGCACAGACAGGTTGCCACACCTTTCATCCATGACCTGCCGGGGAAGGGTCCACAGGTCAGAAGCAAGTTCCAACGAGCGGGGCTGGGCTGGTCTCTGCGATCCAGCCACGCCTCCTCTAGTATCCTGTCTACCTTGGGGCCCTGGTTGCCTACTTTCCCCTTTTCTGTCTTCAGGCCCACAGACTAATCCACTTATTCATTCATTCATTCATTCAGTCAGTCAGTCAGCCAGCCAGCCAGCCAGCCAGCCAGCCAGCTAGTCAACAAATATACAGGGTGTCCAAAAAAAATGTATACACGCTTTAACTGCTGATTTCTATTACATTTTGAAAATGAAGTGTTCTTGTTGTTTTTAATTTGCACCCGAGGGATATTTTTTCCATTGCTTTCAGAGAGAGTGGAAGGGAGAGAGAGACATACATATTGATAGGTTGCCTCCCCCACGGGCCCCGACTAGGGCCGGGGATCGAACCTGCAACCCAGGTACATGCCCTTGGCCAGAATCGAACCCAGGACGCTTCAGCCTGCGGGCCAACGCTCTGACTACCGAGCCAAACCGGCCGGGGCTGAATGTGTTTTAACCAACACTGCCTTTATAATTATTCAAAGTGTGTGTACATTTTTGGGGGGCACCCTGTGTACGGAAAGCCAGCTGTCTGAGACACAAACCTGGGGTGGGGATAGAGCATCAGCCCACAGCCAAGACGCCCACACGGAGGAACCGCACATCCTACAAGAGAAAGAGACAAGAGAAGTAACTGGGATCTGGGGCAGGTAGTCGACGGCGCTGGGTCACACGCGTGTGTCCATTGTTCCCTGGCAAAAGTGCCCCCCGAGACGGGGAGCTCTGTCCTATTCTCCCTCCCGGTGACACCTCCTCTCCATTGTCCGGACAGGCCCTGGGCCGGGGGCCACGGAGGCCATCTCGTTCACAGGGTTCCCGTGTACCCCTTTTCTTGGGCCGCTGATGGCAGTTGTGTAGTAACAAAATGCTTCCTGGGCTCGTAGGAAATCCAACTTATTGTCCGTGACGTGTTTATCCAATTCCCTTCTGAAATTGAGTGGGCCAGCAAAATCCTCCAAGGTGTCTATTGCTTGTGGTGTCTGCTTCTGCCACAGACCACACAGGGGTGTGGCTATGGGCATACGCACGAGTAAAAGCGTGTGCAAGAGGAACGGAAGTGCGTCATGGGGCTGTTCCCGGACAGCGTTTCACAGCCGCTGGACGTGACTGGAAGGATTTCGAGTTAGCAGGAGTTCTTACGCGCCCTTAGCTTTGTCCGATTTCTCAGGCAGGCGGGCAGAGTGGCAGGCACTGTGTGCGGCTGTCCTGCTGTCACAGAGGTGAAGGCTGTTAAAGCCCCTCGGGCGGGTGAGACCTTGGGTCTCCTTAGCCGCAAGGCGCCTGGGGACAGGGGAAGGCAGCTAGGAGGACAGTGTGAGCCACAGCCCACACCGTTCGTGGCAGTACTGCCAACGCGGTGGCAGGCGGGGCGTGGCTCATTGAGGCAACGATGGCACACAGGTGGCCGATTATATCACGATTCCGGACCACCGGACACATTTCGTGAAAAATACCAGCCAGCAAATGTTAGTTCTGAGGTAAAAGTCTCGAACACGTGTTTGAAAGAGAGAGAGAAGCAGGTGTCAAAACCTGAATGTAATGCGTGGGCTCCCACCTGGCAAACGTCAGTTCCCACGCGGTGTGTCAGTTTCCGTGGGTGCTGTTCGCTGGCACGCTGGAGCCCAGGAACGGGCACTAAGGCTGTGTCCCCTCCCTCTGCTCCAGTATCGCTGGTGTGTTAGTGACCTTTTTATTTGGCCATCTTTGTTGAGAAACCAAACTAAATCACCCGAATGCATTCTCTCCCTCTCTTTTTCATCTCTCCCAGGCCAATTGTCTAATCTAGGCCAATGTCTTATTAGGCAAGGCCACAGTTTTGTGCATAAGATATATTCTTGCTTAATATTGTGTGTAAGCTCTAGATGATTTTGCCTTTAATAAATTTCTTCTTAATTAAAGATTGTCCGTGGCTGGGATACATAGTTAACTGTGCACCTTTTTTTGAAAGCTCTTCCTCTAAGAAGCATTTGCTTAGCTGCTTTCTAGTGTTTAGAACACACATTGAGAGGCTGTGGATATTTAACATGAGAGCATATTCCTATAATTTATGCAGCTTAATAACAGTCAGGAACATTTAATATTGATGAGCTTAGCATTTAAATGGCAGCATTTTTGTCATGTTTTAAAGTGTGTTGATAAGATCTCATATAGTGTATATATTAATTTGAAAAAGAATCATATGGAAGCAAAGATGAAAAGTTTTACCAGTCACCCAGGTTGTTGAGGGAACTGCTCCAGGAAGCAGGGCTGGGCCTGTGAGTTCTTCTGTGTCTCAGGTGCAGGACGAGAGGACCAAGGAAGAGGAGAGAGCCCTGGCCTGTAGCCCCGTCCAGATAACAGCTGAGAGGAGGCGAAGCCTGTGGTATGCAAGCCATTACCCAACCGACGAGAGAAAAGTAAGACACCCAGAACGGAATTTCCATTTCCTACTTTATTTTGCTAACTTCATAATATATTACTGACTGCGCATCATATAATATCATACGCAAACTCAAACTGCTCAGTTCATGGAAATGGTTTGATTTTGGAGTCCTGGTACCGAGCTCTATTCAAGAGGGGAACCCAGCTTCCAAAGGACATACCGTGGCTCCACCATGCTCCACCAGACACCATTTCGGATTTCCGTGCTTTCCACTGAAGTCTATTAATCTTCAAGAGAAAGAGTGTTCTAGTTCTTTACAAATAATTTTGTATTTAAAACAAACAAAAAATAACAAAGTAACCTGTGAGCACTGGGTGGTGGAAGTCTCAGTGTTGAAATACATTGCAGATAATATTTTCACTCTGTTAGGTAGCCAGCCACAATAATACCCCAAGAAACCACTTAGAGAAGATCAAAACAATTTCTGTGAATACAATTAAGTGTCTTTTACTGCTTTGAAGCAACAGTAAGGCTTGACAAGGAAAAGTGAGTCAGGTCTGGGTAATTCATATAACGTTTTGATCATATAGTAACCCTGTGAACTCAATCTGTGCCATACTGACTTGTTAAGACGTTCCATTTGCAATGTTCCAAGGACAATCTTACATTTCTTGGATGGGGTCAGCATTTTGCTTCGGAGCATGTTAGAGAATTGAGGAGCAGATTCTCCAATTTATTTGGTGTTAGGTGAGTTTCTCTAAGACACATGATCTAATGCATTCTGGCAGTCCCGTGCTGAGAGAGGGTGGAGCAATGAAAACCCCGCCTTAGGGAGCTGACAGCAATGTGGAGTAGAGGTGGTGCCCTAAGATGTCTGCAGATTTGCAGGGGGCCTTTTCTCTCTCACTACACTGTATTTCAGATGATCCCATCCATTTCACTAAATGATGATATCAATAAAAGATAGCACAGCAGTTTCCAAAGTGAGGTCTGTGCACCTCTGGGAATTCCTGAGACCCTTGTAGCAATCCACAAGCTTATAGCAATCCACAAGTTCAAAACTGTTTTTGGAATTATTGGTAAAATATTTACCTTTTGTTAGGCTAAGATGTTCTCTGATGGTACAGAAGCACAAACCAAGGCAATGGCACAAACCCTGACATCCATGGTTAACTCTCCACCACCACACACTTGCAATAAACAAAGTAGAAAGGCCAGTTCCACTTAAGTATATCCTTGATGAACCAGGGCTTGTTATTAATTTTCTTAAATTTAAACCTTAGAGCACATATCCTTTTAATATTCTGTGTGACAAAATGGGGAGTCCGTACAAAGTGCCACATACTAGAGTCTGACAACTGTGTCCATGAAAAGCATCTGACCGGTAGTTGGAAGTGTGGGCTAAATTAGCCGTTTTCTACCTAACACCAGGTTTACTTGAAAGAGCAGTTGATAGAGAGATTGTGGTTACCCAGATGTGGATATATGGCAGATAGTTATTAGAAAATAAATGTAGTGAGCCTATCTTTTTAAGGCATCCACTCACGACATTTGTTGCTAATGATAAAATTTGAACTTTTGAGTGAAAATTCACATATTGGAAAACTTGTATCCACTACTGAGAGCTTGAAAACTTCCCAATACTTAAGGACTTTTCTGATTAAATCAGTGGTGATGTTAACACCAGTGTGCTGTCTTAAATACTGTGTAATGAAATATGTCAGTATACTTGTTAGGCCTGCATGACTCACTGAAGCAAATCACCAACACATGATATTCTGATGTGTGGGTAAAAGGTCCATGCAAGGTGCAAGATATGGACGTACCTCACCTTATTGTGCTTCGCTTGACTGCACTTCACAGATGTGTTTTTTGCAAATTTTGCTGGCACACTCTCTGCCAGCAAAAAAGATGATGACTGGCATTATGTCAATACTCACTTTATTGCGGTGGTCTGGAGCCAAACCCGCAGTATCTCCAAGTGTGCCCGTATATCAGTGGATTTTGATGCAACAAACTAAAGTTTGATCTGGTTTCAGATTTCACATTGCAACTAACCTTCAAGTTCCTGCCACTTTCTGAGTTTGATGTAGTAGCAAAGGGAACTATCCACAATTACCTGGATAGACTATTGAAATACTTCTTCCTTTTCCAACTGCGTATCTCAGTGAACCAGATTTTCCTCACGTACTTCAGCCAAAACAACGTATCACAACAGATTGAATGCAGAAACAGATTTGCCGCCTTTTAAGTCAGACATTAAAAAGATACACAAAAGCGTAAAACAATGCCACTCTTTTCGCTGTTTTTAAAATATAGCTATTTGAATAACATTTATGTTAGCATATAATGGTCATTTAATTTTTAATGAACTAATAGATAAGTATTTTTAAGTGACTCAGTTTTAATTTCTAACATGATTGATAGATAGGAGCCACATAAATAAAAAACACTTTGGGACCCCCGGTGATTTGTAAAAATGTAACTGAGTCCTGACTTAAAAGATCTGGGGAACCCCTTTGCATTGGCACAACAAATGCTTATTATTTAGGGGGAGCCCAAAGCATCTGGCACTAAAATAGTTAAAAAATATAGTCATATGATAATTCTTTTGTTGTAGACAACATGAAAATCTTAATCTCCAACCACGCAACAAATATATTTTCTTTATTATGGAACTTCTATTTCTTGAAAAGTGAACACTCAGAATTCTGCAGATGTCTCAGAGGGTTCTAGGAACATAAAATCAAGCAGTTTAATCTATTAGAACAAAACACTTGAAAAATGTAATCAACTTTTGTAGTGATGTAGTTTACCCCTACTTATTTACTGTTATAATTAAAAGTTAACATCAGAAGCTGGGCAATGTTATAATAAACAGCAACATCCAATTATTTGTCCCTTTATATTTTGCATGGCGATTTTAACATACTAGCATCGAGCTGGTTTAAGAGAATGGATATATGTATAGTAAAACTTTATAGATATTTACATATATAAACATTACAGTGCTTTCAGCTTATATATTAACATGCTGTCCTGCATTGCTTTTTGCAGCTTTTATCCATGACCCAAGATGACTACAAACCATCTGATGTTAGTATATCCTTAGACTTATTATTTATGCGTGCATAAGGGGTGTAAAAGTGACATAAATGGGATTAGCTCCTTTGAGTATATTTTAATGATCTATAAAATTTCTATAAGTTTTTGAATAAATATTTTGTAGAAATTATATCTGATTTATTGCTATTAAAACACTGACTCATGAACTCCAGTATAGCCATACAGAATGTATTTAAACTTTTAAAAAGCCATATTGGGGGGTTTTTAAAAAGCATTTTGCTATGCAGATGTGCCTGTTACATAATTTGAATAGGAACTCTTACAGGTCCATGGACACACACACATACGTGTATGTGCATGTGTATGTTTATATGTATATCTTTGAAATTGTAAAGCCAAAGAAACAGAGGAAAAGAAAGAAACAAGAAATCGCACTTAGAGTACGATGCGCGGCAATAAGGGAATTACAAGCTGGCAGCGTCAGGCAGAGATGCCCAGAAGGGGTGCCGTCTAAGCTGAGACCTGTTGCATTAATCCTGTGCAGAGCCCCTTGGGCTGTGGAGCAGGACAGGGAGGGGCCGGGGCAGCACTGCTCCTGGGCAGGGCCTGGAAAAGGTAGAGCTGGAGGGCTGGCTGGGAGGATGACAGCCACAAGAGCAGAGACTGGCAAGATTGGACCAAGTCATGAAGCCTCAGCCAGTCTTTTCCCGAGTTCACACTTTATACTGAGAACAGAGGTGCATTGCACGGTGTTTAGCAGAGATGGGACAAGATCAGATTTGCATTTTATTGAGATCTGTCTTTGGAGAATAGGTTTGGGACGGAAACAGACAAAATGTCATCTTGCTAACGTGGATAGTTGACTAAGTTGCTCAGCTTTCGATCAGCTCTTCACTGTTGAGTTAAACCTTACTGTAAGGGAGGGAGGCGGGATGTGCGTACTGAAAACAGCAGCTGCTCTCACAGGTGTGCCTTTGCCCCTCACTCCCCACCAGGGCCTGCTGGTGACCGTGAATGGCAACCCTGTGGATTACCACACGATCCACCCCAGCCTTCCCATGGAGAATGGGCCCGCCAAAGGAGAGCTGTACTCCACCCCGCAGTACCGGTGGGAGCCCTCGGATGACTCCATAGGTGAGCAGCCAGCTCTGCAGGGTTCGGTCATGCCCAGGGTTTTAGTTTCCCTCAGGTATAAACTCAGCCTGGCATCTCTGTCTTTTGTTTATTGTTCACTGGATTTGGTTCTTTCTTCTTCTTTTTTCTCTAACAAGTCTTGTCTTCCACTGTCAGTATAATTAAGCTCAGTTCTTTACCTTCTCCCTATATTCTACCCCAACATATTGTTATGTGTGTTCTATCAAAATAAGAGGCATAATCAGGGCAAAATTTGAAAAATAAAAGGTAAAAAATGATTGTAAGGATGTCAACTTGTATATAGGTATGTCCTAGTCTTTCCATCATTTAATAATGTAGTCATGGTCAGTAGTTTTGCAGGCTAATGGATGGATGTTTTCAGAAAGAGTTCTTTTTGTCTATTAAAAAGAGGAGAGGGTCAAAACTTGTACACAGCCTCCCCCCTCCCCATTTTTTCTCAGTTTGTTATGTTAAAGGAAAGCAGACTGTTACTAAAGATGACAAATTGGTAGCCTGGGGTGGAGGAGATCTTGTCCTCAGACTTGTTGTTTTTGGCCTACATAGCATTTTCTTTAAAAAGATTAAATAGTAACCAACATTTTAAAAACAGCAGCTCTAACCTAGAAAGGAAATTTCCGGAATCCCTTGAAGAATAAAAGTATCTGGCAAACCAGTCCCTCGTTTCTGCAAGGCGGCAGTTGACTCCACCACTGTGGTCATTGCCCTTTTGGAGACCACGCCAATCACCAGTCCATGAAGACAGAATTAGCTCTGTTTACTGTCAAAGAGGGAAAAGCAGAATGCATACAGGTAGCAGCAAAGTGGCTACAAAATTATAGTGGATTTTTCTCTCTATTTTTATGGAATTAAAGCTAGAGTTGTTATACATTATCCTACATTTAGTAAACAACCAGCAACCATCCAGTCTGTATTATCAGTACATGGAGCTGACGCTCAAGCCCTTTTCTGCCGTAATTCTTTATCAGGCGCTTCTAATGCACTGTTCTTCATGGTTCTTTATCAGTACTTACTGCAGTTGCCTCTGACAGCGCATCTACTTAGCAGTACAAATGGTTAGTATAACGTTATCCAGCATTCTTCAGCAAGGTCAGATCAAGTTCAGTTCCTCCACCCCACCCCAACCCTCCCCACACACACCCAGCCCCAGTTGGCATCTGCAATCTCTGCAGAGCTCCAGACTCTACTGGTTAGTTGCCCATTTCTGCTTCCTACATGCATATGTTTCAGTTTGCAACTAGGGCTTAAATGAAGGTTTTCACTTACTGAATGTGTCAGGAAATACACCACTTTCCAGTGTGTGGTCTTCAGACCTTTGGCATTAGAATCACAAAGGGCAGGCCCAAGAACCAGCATCTGTGACTTCTAAAGTTTGAGACGTAGAGGTCGGAGCCAAATAGCCTTCCATGTACATATTACGTAACATGAATAGAAATGAACGGAATTCTGACTGCTGACAAGGCAAACCCACACACACTGAAATCATTGAACTTTAGAAAGTAAAACAAAAGCTGGAAAGTTATTTTTTTATTTAAATCTATATATGTAAAACATGTTATCACCAGAGAAGTAGCATGCCACTAGTTGTAAAAGCCATCAAATTTAGTTTTTTCATCACTGTCTCCACTTCGTGGACTCCCCCAATAAACCCCAGGCCCACCCCAGCCCAGCACTGGAGGGATGGGAAGCAGTGGGCTTCTGTAGGAAGAAATGCCACAGCCTCCCTTAGAGACTCACTTCTAAGCCTTCATGGCCACTGGTTTTTCAGTGATTATATGTATCTTCTTCATGGTGCTAAGTAACTCCCTGGATGGGATGTAGCCTATTTAAGAAATACAGAAAGGACATTGTGCTTAAATGTGTCACTCATTACCTCCTATGTGAAATCAAAATAGCTTTCCTGACGACTGTAGGAGGATCTTGAGGAGAAATCCTTCACACCTCTGCCGGTACCTTCCTATTGCTGGTCTCTTCGACTCAGCCCTCCACACTTTCTCTCTCTTGCTTTGGCCTGATCTTTCCATCCTCAGTATGACTTTTCCACCTCAGCATGGCCTAAAAGGAGACTGTGGGCCAGCATCTTCACTCTGGCAAAGTGGTTGGTTGATAGGTTGGTTGGTTGATTTTCTGCACCTTTTCTGCACCCATACTCCATATACTCTTTGTATTAGTTATCTATTACTGAGTAACAAATGTAGTGGTTTAGAGCAACATTGAATGTCACACTGTTTTTGTGGGCAAGGAATTGGCTGTGACTAGGCTGATATTCTCTCTCATGAGCTGAAGTCCAGCTGCTGGCCAAGCCTGCGGTCCCATCCGAGGGCTCGCCTGCGGACAGTCTGCTTCCATGACCATTCAGTGGCCACCAGCTGACCTTAAGCCTTTGCTGACTGCTGGCCAGACACATCAATTCCTTGCCACCTGGGCGCCTCCATAGGGCAGCGTACAGCATGGGTGATGGCTTCTCCCAGAACCAGTGAGAGAATGAGAGAAAGGGTTCAAGGCGGGAGCCCCAGTCTTCACCCAATCTTGGAAGAGTATCCCACCCCTTCTCAAGTATTCCGTTCTTTAGAAGCCCATCCGAGGTCCCGCCCACGGTCAGGAGAGGGGTTGCCCAGGACACGAACACCAGGAGGTGGGGATCATTAGCGACCGCCTCAGCAGCTTCCCTCCACTCTCTCAAATCGAACGTTTCTTCCTGTAATTCCTGGGTGCCGGGTCCCATTACACCTACCGAGCAGAACTTCATGGTTCGGTTTGGATTCTAAGGCCTTCGTCAATCGGAAATCATCTCTGCAGTCTTGAAGAAAAGACGGTGCTGAGGCCATACATGAGCTGTGTTGCTTGGGACATTTGTACAAAATTCATCCGCTGTGTTGGCACGAATGGTTATATAAAGTATTTGTCTATCTAGAAAAGAAAGAGGAAGAAGAAGATGAGAAAGGCGAATTTGAAGAGGAAAGGAGCCATGAGGAAAAAACAAGTGTGAAAGTTCACGCCATGGTCTCTGTGTTCCAGTTTGTTATGAAACAGAGTTACATCTGTGCCCTGATTGCTATGATGGTAAGTATGAGAGCAGAGCCCCCTCGCGCAGCAGAAATACCACCATCTTCCCGACGTCTTGGCAGAAAACGTTGGTTATATTACCTTTTCCTGGGATTTTTATATTACAGATTTCAAAATCATGCCCTCTTCTACTCAGCCTGCTTTTCAGTAGTAATACATTACTCCCAAATTAGCCTATCAAGTGAGACTGTCCCTGTTTTGGCCACTTAAAAGGACATGTTGGGTGGTTTTTCTAAGTCATATTGAAGGTGTTCAGGATGAACATAGACTGCTTTTATTTCTTTCAGAGAGTGAGGGTTATCTTCACGTCTTACCTTAGATGTGAATGAGACTTTTTTGCATCTTAGCTGCAGTAAACGTTCACCAATGTGAACATCAAGCAACCAGAGTTCCCAGGAGCTTTTCCCCCTGCGAGCGTTCAGTGTATGTGTGTTTCTACTCACCTCTAGGTTCATCCTTCATCTCTTGTATCACGGCTTCAAAAACAGTCTTTCGGCCTATACATGGATGATAAGAGAAAGCCTAATTTCTACCTCTCCTAAAAACAAACTCTCAGAGGGGAAAGCTAATATATTTTTGAGAGACCTACACGTATTTAACACAATACTCTTCCAAATTTTATGGTTAATGGTGAGAGATCCCATGGACATCTTTGATGATAAAAAATGAAAATAGTCTATAACTCTAGCAGGGAAAATACCTAGACACAGTTTCCTCAGGCACTCAGCCCAGATGTTTCCTGACTTCAGCATTGAGTAAGGGCCACTGCAATAGCTGAGAGAGGGATGGAAAGCAGAAAGCTCCACAAAATTAAAGATAGCTCTCTTGGCAATTGCAAATTCTATTCTCTAAATAATATTAAGTCTGTGCTCTTTGGGGTACTTTTCAATATTTTCTATTAATCTCTACAGCAAAATTTTGATTTTAAAATATCAAACATATAAATGCAACTTGCAAATCTGAATCTTAAACTCAAAAGGGTATACACATTTTTTTACCACTCTTTCTAAAAATAAGCCAGTTTAGCTTGGTCCTTTTTTGTAAAGAAATAGGGCTTTAACATTATTTTGAATACATATTTTGTAGAAAAAAATGTATTATAAAAACAACACAAGAGAGCACATCCTTCATTAAAGACGTGCCCTTATCTGGTGCTATTTCTGTTGATTTAGTGAGCCACAATATTAATGTTTTCAAAGTGCCTGGCTTCCGTGGAAGCTCCCCACTGCAGCAGACTTTCAATCACAGACAGAAAGAGAAGTCTTGAGGAGCCAACTCGGTTAGAGCAATATATTTATTATTTCCAAAAATACAAGACACAGATATACTAAACTCTCAGGAAATCCAGACACTGAATGTAGGAAGCAACATAATGCAGAGTCTACTTCTCAAGTACCACAACTGAGAGGCATATGTAACTTGGGCTTTAAGAGGAAAGAAGTTTTAAAAAGTTCTCATTATTTGTCTTACCCTGTCTTTCACTCTCACCTTCCCACACAAGAATCTGCTGGAATGATAACATCTATGAAGCTCATTTTCCTTGGTCACACACACACAAATGGTAGTCACATCTGCATTTCATCTTGGGATAAATGCATTAAATACAGTATTGAATGCAAATACGTTACATATATTACCGACACTTAGGTAAACACTCTTTCCAATAAATAATGTTTTCATGAAAGTAATTCAGACCTGATCATAGTAATCAGTCACTAACTTAATTTTAATAAAAGCAACTTTAATTTTCAGTCTATACTATATGTTTTAACCAGCAGTTTTAAATAATTTGCCACTTAAAAAGCTAGTGACGCTTTAGGACAAGTTTGCGGGTTGCTGAGCGGAAATATTTCTTTCTTCTATGCCGACTTCTTTTATCCTTCTGAGAAGGAAAACAGACTTGTAAACATTTCAGACTTTATAACTCTTGGTAGTTAATGATATTCAGGAATATGATTGATTACAATTAGCCCCAAACATATCTAGAAAATGTTTTTAAAGGAGTTTTTCAAAAATGTTGTAGCAGAGATCACAATAAGACGTGATAGAGTTCCTGAAGTTAATACCTGTGAGCCTGATTCACAGAGTGCTGCTTTGAGAGACATTTCTGAATCTTTAAAAGTGTAGTGTGGATGGAAGAAGATGTATCATTCGTCCAAACGGCGTGAGGGCTCTTTAGTCCTACCCTTGACAGGACAGAAGCTGAGACGGGTCTTTAAATTAACTTGACTTTGTTGTTTGGGGTGTGCAGAAGCCTAACACACAGCTTCCTCGTGTACATTTTCTAGTTTGTATCTTCTTGGCTTATCTGAGAGTGATCTCCGAAGCCAGGAGTACGCTTGGCCTGGTGACCCCGCAGCTTCCATTTCTGAGCCCAGCCGTGGGCCACACTCAGCACTCTTAAATAACTGCTGCCTCCAAGCTAGTTCGGTAAAAGAGGGGCAAAAGCACTGACAGTTGCTTTTAATATTGCAAAGCAGGGTAAAAATAAAAACCTCTGGGGCTAGAGGGAAAGGGCAGGGAATGAAGACTCCCCTGCCTTTAATTGTTTTCCCTTCAGGAATTTCAAAGCGATGTTCTTCTCAGCAGAATCAATCTTTTTCTTCTCTCCCCACCCTGTGCCACAGGTTGGGATCTCCCTCCAGGATATCAGCACAACTCTTTCCTCTCCCCAGTTTGAATATTACTGACTTTTTCTTTGTAGATAACTTTTCACTTACCAGAGTGGGTGACTACATGTTGTACTGACCATCGCTTTTTCCCCCTTCCTCCCTCAAGGCGTGGAGCATCACCTATCACAGCTGGTTGACTTTCGTGCTGTTGATTTGGTCATGCACTCTTTGGATGATTCGCAATAGAAGAAAATATGCTATGATCAGCTCTCCTTTCATGGTTGTCTATGCAAATCTGTTGCTGATATTACAGTATATATGGAGTTTTGAACTTCCAGAAATTAAAAAGGTCCCAGGATTTTTAGAAAAGAAAGAGCCAGGAGAGCTTGCCTCAAAGGTAAGTGCCCAGGGCCCGGCCGGTGTAGCTCAGTGGTTGAAGATTCACCTATGATCCAGGAGATCTCTTTTCAATTCCTGGTCAGGGCACATGCCCAAGTTGCAGGCTCAACCCCCAGCAAGGAGCANTCACTTACCAGAGTGGGTGACTACATGTTGTACTGACCATCGCTTTTTCCCCCTTCCTCCCTCAAGGCGTGGAGCATCACCTATCACAGCTGGTTGACTTTCGTGCTGTTGATTTGGTCATGCACTCTTTGGATGATTCGCAATAGAAGAAAATATGCTATGATCAGCTCTCCTTTCATGGTTGTCTATGCAAATCTGTTGCTGATATTACAGTATATATGGAGTTTTGAACTTCCAGAAATTAAAAAGGTCCCAGGATTTTTAGAAAAGAAAGAGCCAGGAGAGCTTGCCTCAAAGGTAAGTGCCCAGGGCCCGGCCGGTGTAGCTCAGTGGTTGAAGATTCACCTATGATCCAGGAGATCTCTTTTCAATTCCTGGTCAGGGCACATGCCCAAGTTGCAGGCTCAACCCCCAGCAGGGAGCATGCAGGAGGCAGCTGATCAATGACCCTCATCATTGATGTTTCTATCTCTCTCTCTTTCTCTCCCTTCCTCTCTCTGAAATCGAGAAAAATACATTAAAAAAAAAAAAGTGAGTGACTAGGAAAACAAGAAAACGAAACATTATAACCACAATATAATCATAATAATCATATCTAAACAAAAACTTACAAAAATAAGTTCCAGATATTTACTACTCCAAAATGAATAGATATGAAACTATAAGAAATAATGTATATTGCTTCAAGGCCTTTGGACTGCCCGGCTCATCTTCCCCAGGGCCTTGCACCTTGCACCTTGCTGAATGTTCCCTGGAGCTCGGCATGCATGCTAGCATCCCCAGGAAAGGGAATTTAAAAGCCAGTGACTTTCAGTCGAAATCAAGTGGGTGCTTGACTGTCTCAAACAGAAAGCTTATTGAGCAAGCTCCCACTGAAATGTGGGGAGCATGTGGTATTTGTTGAAATGTATTTACACTCAAAATGGCGGCTTGATTCTTGCTTTCCTAATTCTCTGCTTTCAGATACTTTTCACCATTACGTTTTGGCTGCTGCTGAGGCAGCACCTCACTGAGCAAAAAGCTCTTCGAGAAAAGGAAGCTCTTTTATCTGAGGTCAAAATCGAAACTCAGGAAATTGAAGAAAAAGGTAAATGAATGTGTATAGTGTGTGACTGGAGATTTTTTTGCTCAGCAGAATCACAGAGAAAGGGCCCCTAAAGTGCATCAGGAAAGCGAGTATGCTGCAGACCAGGTGCAAGCTGAACGTGCGCTTGGGGGGATAATGACAGTATTGTGTATATGGTGCGGAGATTTAGAGTGCACGTGAAGTTCACAGGAGCTTTTGAAAATACTGTATCGTTTGAGCCTCACAAAAGTGATTCCCACTTAAGGGAAGAAGAAAGAAGTTAAATGATGTCTCTAAGGTAACCCTAGAAGAGCCACCAAACAGTCAGAATTCAAAACTGAAATCGTAGTTTTGATCTGCGTCATTGTCGCCTATTTATTTTTCTAGAACCTGTTGCGCTTAAAGCTGTTGTGGCTCTTGGACATGCAATAGGTGTTAAAAAAAGATTAGTATAACATATTACCAAATTTATTCCTTCTAAAACGTATCCCCTGAAGGTTCTAAAAATCGACTGTGATTCGTTACAAATGCTGACTTGTTTACTAGAACAACCTAAAGTCATTCAAATCATGCAGTGATTCATAGGACGCGGGCCTCTGTGTCTCGCATGCGACACCCGGTCGGAGCGTGGTTTCGGCCGGGGCGCCAGCGAGGGTGACAGTGCAGCCTTTTGTCTTGAAGATGCCGAGCAGGACGCACCAGCGGAAGGGGAGGCCGACGCGCAGGAGGAAGAGGAAGGGGCACGGGAAGAGGAAGGGAGGGAGGAGAAGCCGGCCGGCCCGAGAGAGGAGGAGGAAGCGGAGGACGACAGCCAGGACATCATGAAAGTGCTGGGCAATTTGGTGGTGGCCATGTTCATCAAGTACTGGATCTACGTGTGCGGAGGAATGTTCTTCTTTGTCAGCTTCGAGGGTAAAATTGTGATGTACAAAATCATCTACATGGTGCTGTTTCTGTTCTGCGTGGCCTTGTACCAGGTGGGTAAGCAAGTCCCTCTGTTCCAACCTCGCGCCCATCCAGGAATGTATGCGGGCGTCCTTGGATGACAGTCTAAGTTATTACGGTCCCCTGAACAGATCCTGTGAAGTGACATGCGGTTCAAACTTCACATAGGAAGAGTTCTAAATTGGGAAGGGACGGTCTTCAGCTTGTTCATTATTTTAAATTTTTAGGTTCTTAAAAAGTAAAAAATAAATAAGTAAAAGTGCATGAGTTTTGCAAAAATTCTTGATAAAAAAATTAGAAGCCTGTATAATTAGGTTAATTTTAATAGTAGTTAAAGAATTGCTGTTAAACTGAATGTACGATATTCAGTTCACTTGTGTTTTAGACTTTGAAATTAGAAAACAGTGGGTGTGTATATACACAGATGTGTGTAGTTGTGTAGTGCATTGACTGCTTTAGTTGTCATCAATGTCTAATGAGAATTTATAGGTTATATGATAATTAGCTTCTCCACAAATTTGGTTTTGACTGATGATAGAAGTTTTAATTCAATGATAGAAGCAAGTGCAACAATAAAATATTCTTAAAAAAAAAAAAAAGAAATAAAATATTCTTGTAGGCCACCAACAAAACACAGGAAGCAATTATAATAAATAGGAGTATGTTACATGTGGAGATTAAAAACATCTCAACTGAAATCAGTAAAGTTTTGAAATACTATTGAAAATTCAGGGAGGTGATCTTTAATGAATATCCATGAGATTATGGTAGCAAGATGTCTTCTATCTGCGGTTTCACATTTTTGATCATATAGTACCGCATTGAATTTCAAAACTGAGGCAGCTTTCTCTGAGCAATAAGCAAAATGATGGCCGTATCTACCGTACCTTCCCTTGAATGACTCCTGTAGGCTGGAGCTCATGCTAAGAGCCTTGTAAACATCATCTTATCCTCCTAACAACTCTCAAAGTAGTTATTTACGGAGGAGGAAACAAAAGCTTAGTCTGGCCCAACGACTTGCCCGAAGACACAGTTGGCAGCTTCTGGTAGTACCGGGATTCCAATCCAGATCCATTCGACGCTATGAGGACCAGAGCCTCAGAAACTAAAAACCAAATAGGCTTTATTTTCAAGCATTTGTGAATATCATCGTCTGTCTTAGTTGAACAAGTGAGATGTTTTTGTGTGTTTATCTATAACTCACTTTTTTCCTGTTTGTTTTTCAATGCCTGATCCACAGGTACACTATGAATGGTGGCGGAAAATTCTGAAATATTTTTGGATGTCTGTGGTTATTTACACTATGCTGGTGCTTATCTTTATATACACATATCAGTTTGAAAACTTCCCAGGCCTGTGGCAAAACATGACTGGAATGAAAAAAGACAAGTAAGCAGTTTTGGTGTACAGTGGAATGTATCAGTGACAAACTGGATGCAGACCTGAATGCATGTTGTTCAAGACATTTTGATGGGAGGTTTTAGTAAAACATAATGTTATCAGTGTCTATAATTCCTTGAGAATAGGATTTATATCTCAGTCATTTTGTGTTCTCTCAATAGAGTCCTGATCTTGGCACGTAGTAAGGACTCTGCGAATATTGACTGAAAAGCAAATTGACCGAAAGTGAACCTTTAGCTCCATTTTAGTGAAATGACATTTTCTAATGTGAGTTTCATGTGAAACTTAACCAGTCATGTTTTCTGTTTTGCAAACTGGAGCTCAGTTCTTCAGTTCATCTGTAGGTTCATAGACTCATGATATAAAGAAGCAGCTTCTCCGCAGCTATGTAGCTTGTGCTAAGATTTTAAAGAGTAGTTGATGCCACAGGAAAAGAAATTTAAGTGCTTATAGACTAGTGATTATGAAATGATTTTTCCTGTGCATGTAATAGATGGTACTCTATTCTTTTCTAATTTGCTTCTTTAAATATCTGGAATTAGTTTAGAAATCCAACCAGAATCAGGCATAGAGTAAATATACTTCGGTGCCTAAGAGAAAAGATTAAAAGAAAAGTATCACCAAGTAGCTAGACTAACACATATTTAATATTTATTCAACAAATATTTGTTGAATGCCCTCCATGTGCCAGACACTGTTCTGTGCCAGACACTGTTCTCTGCCAGACACTGCTCTAACAGGAAGCAAGACAGACAGAATCTAAGCCCTTTGCAGTCTATATTCTAGTACAGGAGACAAACCAAAAAAAGACTTAATGTACAAATAAATTAATTATAAATTTTGGTAGGTCTGCCAAGGGGAAAAAAACCAGGCTGAGGTAGTGAACAATGAGGGATACCAAACATAAATGGCGTGGTCAGCACAGGCTTCACCAAGAAGGTGTCATTTAAATCCCACCTGAAGGATAAGAAGGGGCTTGTCTTTAGAAAAATGTGTGAGTTGAGACCTGGATGCTCTCCTAGCACAGAGAACGGCAAGTGCAAAAGCCCTGAGGCAGGACAGAGACTGGCACTTACGAGGACTGAAGGAAGTCCCTCCTGCCGGGAGCAAGGGGGTGGAGAGTGGACGGAGAAGAGGTGGCAGAGTTTAGCCAGGTGCTCAGGACGTGCATGGCTTATTGGTAGTAGTGGTTGGTGTTTTATTCTTGGTGCAATTTTTAAGTTTTTAAAGCACCCCTGACTGGCAAGTGATGTGTCAGGAGGCAAGAGTAGAAACAAGGAGAGCGATAGCAGTGAACCTGTGAGACATATGGTGGCTTCACCCAGAATAGGTGGCTGTAGGGATGGACAACAGAAGTGCACAGATTCAAGAGGTGTTCAGGCAGTGAAGGAGAAGTGGATGAATGAGGTTATTTGGAGGCAAAAAAAGAATCAAGGAAGACTTCCTGACTCTGGAACCTGGCACAGGTTAGACTGTTATACCCGGGGAGACTTCAGCAGAGAGAGGAGGTGGAGAACAGCTTGGCTGAGGAAAATAGGGAAATCAAGGATACTGTTTTTAAGACACTAAATAGGAAATAACTATAAAACAACCAACTTCGGGTAGACACTGTGGTATGAGAGTGAGAATACACAGGAAAAGCCTGAGCTTTTTTTTTTTTTTAAATATGTTTTTATTGATTTCAGAGAGAAGGGAGAGGGAGAGAGAGAGAGAAACATCAGTGATGAGAGAGAGACATAGATTGGGGATTGCAATCCGGACAGGTGACCAGAATTGAACCGTGACCTCCTGGTTCATAGGTTGAAGCTCAACCACTGAGCCACCCTGATGAGGCGGAAAAGCCTGAGCTTTAAATGCACATTTGAGTCATTGATGTAAAGGTGGTATTTAAATTCCCTGGACAAGGTGATATTTCCTAGGGGAAAACTGAGCTTGAGAAAGACTCAACATTGAGCCCTGGGGGATTTCAGCATCTGGAGGGCCAATAGAAAAGCAAGAGGTAGTGACAGAGAGGGAAACCCAGACAGTATGGGGGTGTAAAAACCTGGATTGTTTCAAGAAGGCCTAGGGGCAAAATTAAACAAAGATAGAGAAGCAGCCACTGAATTTGGCAAAATCAAGATTGTTGACCACTGTGAAAGCAGGCNAAACAAAGATAGAGAAGCAGCCACTGAATTTGGCAAAATCAAGATTGTTGTTGACCACTGTGAAAGCAGGTAGATTGGACCGCTGGAAACCTGGCGAAGGTGAAAGACGGTGATGCCATTTATAGTGAAGAGAGTGTGTCTTCATTGCCTAAGAAACGGTCTTGTTTTTCGTTTTTGTTGTTTTTTGTTTTGTTTTGTTTTTTACAGGCTAGAGGATCTCGGCTTAAAACAGTTCACTGTGGCTGAACTATTCACTCGCATATTCATCCCCACCTCCTTTCTGCTGGTGTGCATTTTACACCTTCACTATTTCCATGACCGGTTCCTGGAACTCACAGACCTCAATGCCATCCCCAGCAAGGAAGACAGCCCCATCTACAGGTGAGCGGGCGCCAGCGGCAGGTGCCTCATCGGGAGGACAGCCCTTCTCCCCCTGCTTCCCTTGGCCACCTTGCAGAAGCCCATAATCTGACTCAGAGTTTCAACCTTGAACTTTCCATGAGTATCAACCTGTGGGGGGAGCGGGGGGAAAAGAAACGTGGGATATGTGATAACATTTTTTGAAACAATTGGCATGACTTATGACTGATTAATGTCAAGCGACCTTGATAGGCATTGAGTAGATTCAGAGCAGCTGTGCAGACTAAAATACTTTAGAGCTGGTGAGGTATATTTTGTGTCTAGCTATGTCTAATTTCATGTTGCTACTGAAGCTCTCTGTCTAGACTGTTCTTCAGTGCATGAAACGTGTTGATGATGCACCTGACGACGGGAAGCTTACAAGACACAGCTTACTTTATTCATCTCTGTCTAACAGTCTCCTCTTTCTCTCTCCACCCTGTCTCTCCACTGCCACCGCATGCAACCTTGTGCTTCCACCTCTCACCTCGTAGCCATGCCAAAGTCAATGGGCGCGTATATCTAATAATAAATAGGTGGGTACTTCAGTGTTTTCTCTGTTTTTGTTAAGAACGGTCTCTTGGTGTGTTAAACACTTAACTGTTTTGTAACTGAAAAATTATGTTATCAGATAGTGGACAGTGGTCTTCAGGTATGCTTGTGGATTTATTTTGCAAATCAAACCACTTGGTATTTATACCAAATGGTGCCGCCAAGTGGATTTGGAGGTTGATGAGGGTCTTCAGCTGGTGCTCAGACTTTGGTCTTGGTTCAAATGTATGTGCTATTAATTTCATTCTTAGACAGAATTAGTTCAAGGCTGGCCTAAGAGCTCATCTTTCTCTTGAACACATAATTGAGAGCTCAGCTCAAGAACCACCTCCTCCACAACTTGCCCATAAGTGCCAACTTCCCTGCTAAAAGTAATTGCCCTTCCCCTGAAATCCCATAGCCCTTTCTGACCGCTGCCTCCTGACACTTGCCTCCCAGCCCTCTAGCTGCCTGCTTGTCTTATCTCCCTGGCCAGAGGTGTCAGCTCCTCAGGCCTGGAGTCCCTGTATAAATCATCAAGGTGTCCACATATCACCCACCTTGGGGCCTTACCCATTGGTTGACCCTCAGTAGATATTTACTAAATGGAATAAAAATAGTCACAACAACGTGTGGTGAAAAGAAAATTAAAGCATCAGTTTCTTCAGTATATTTCTACATATTTAAGAATAATATTTTGTATCACCAGATTTTGCAGTATATTTGCATACCACAAAAGGCACAAAGATGGGCACTGAGACATGCGCTATGTTAGATGCGTGTCACCTAGCTGGGGAGATAAAAAATGCAAATGACCACACATACTAAAGAGCCAGCATTGATAGTATTGTGTATATATTTGTCCTCAAGTGCCCCAAGAGTACAGAGCAAAGATCCTTTGGCATCTCATTTACTAAAACTATTCTTACGTTATTAACTAGGTGAATTAAAATATCCAATCCTATAACTTCATGTCATTAATAATAAAGCCAGTAATTTAAGTAATAGAAACACTATAAGTTTGCAAGAAATCTTTCTTCTAGTGGTCTAGTGAATGGGGTGAGTGCAGTTTACATTACCACACATTCCAAATCACATAGTTATAAATAAACGGAATCTAGATGGAGATTTTACAAAAGTAGAGTCTCCATTTTCTTTAATGGGAACTAGCTTAATATGTGGCTTTTCAAAGTCAGTTTCTAGCCCAGGATTAAACCTCCTTAATTCTCCCTGTAACCTAACTTGTTTCTGCTGTTTCAAATAAGAACGCCTCTCCAGTGCATAGACTTTAGTCACCGAATGGTCAATGAGTCACAGTGTATACCAAGCACAATGCTGTATTTTGCAAGGGAGGTGAGTAGAGTAAGCCTGGATTTCTGTCCTCACGGGGGAGTCCTCAGAGTCCTAATTAGAATAAAGCGGTGTCGGTATAAATAGAGAAGTGCACTCGTGGAGGACTGTGGAAGCGGGAAGGAAAGAGTGAGTCAATAAACAGATAAGCATCACCTGCCTTGTTAGAATGCAGAAGGACCAATGGTCAGGGAGAGGATTTCATTGTACTTAAGACACAGTGAGAGGACTAAAGCTCAGAGCCGGAATCATAATAAAAACGAGCCTGATGCATGTTTTCCCTTTTTTCTCCTTTTGTCGTTTGTTACAAGCACTCGAGGCCAGGCTACACTCGCAGGCACCCAGGTCTCACGTGCCCTGTTTCCTCATAAGGATGTCGGAGGAAAACGAGCAGCAGTAGACACAGAAATTAAATTCCCTTCTCTCCCCGGGGTTGTCTAGTCCCAGATCTCTTGCAGACTCTTAGTACAAGCTGCCAGAAGTAGATCTGGATGTGCTTTCAAAAGGTGGACTCTGGTGTTTTCCTTTGATTCCTTCATTCAACAGTCTCCCCTCAACAGGCGCTTGGGGGCCTCATTGCTTGAGGAGTTTTGTTATGTGGCCACAGTGGCAGGTGCAGAAACAGCCTCATCTCTGTGTTTTACTCCATAAATAACACTAATTTTTGGAAGGCTGTTTTGTCAGTTTCAGGCCATGGCAGTGTAGATGTAGACATTTGAATGGCCCTCTGAGATGGTCATAGTTCCATAATAAAAGCTACCAAATTCCTGTCATAATGAAAAAGTTGATCTTCTCACTTACAAAATGCAATCCCCCAGCAATGCTGAAGAGAACACATAAATACTGACAATTGTGTAGCACCTGACTGCTTTTGCATTTAATGCCATTTGCTATGTAGAGTCCCGACAAAGCAAGATCAGCAGTATGTTCCGTGGGGTGTGATGCACAGTGGTGTGTAACATTCGCTATTGCGGTTTCAAGAATGGGGAGCTTTCCCAAAGGTGGAATGGTCAGTTGACTAGCTTTAAAAAATAGCATCACTCCTTCCACCAGCGCTGACACATCTTTAGAATGTTATTTCTTCAAGCAATTAACAATTTGTTTCTGCCGTTATTTCATTTCCCTGCTTGACACTGTTAAAAGTAATTACTTTTGCCTTGGCTGGTGTGGCCAGTTGGTTGGGCATCCTCCTGTTCACTGAAAGGTTGCTGGTTCAATTCCTGGTCAGGGCACATGCCCGGGTTGCAGGCTTGATCCCCTGTAGGGGCCATGCAGGAAGCAGCCAATCGATGTTTCTCTCTCTCCCTTCTTTTCTCTTTAAAAAAATCAATAAAAATCTCCAAGAAAAGTAATTACTTTTAAATTACCCTCTGAAAGTTGAAGGACGGTATAGCTTCATTACGAGAGTTATCTAACATCACAGGTGTGTTTCAAATATAAAACCAACTATTTGCAAGTAAGCTTAGATGTTTTCTCTAGCCAAACTGCTTCATTTTATAGAAAATAAATTAAATTCCAGAAAGATTAAATAATTTGCTCCGAGCCCACAATTATACAGGTAGAATAACTATTAATTGTTCGTCCTGTTACAACAAAGCTGATAATTATGACAAATGGAGAAGACTACCAGGATTTCCAGGAGACCTTTTCCTAATACCTACTTTATTACCCACAAATGTTCCTTCAAATATTCATTTGAATATGAATAAAAAGGACTTTTTTTAAAAAAATCAGGAGGCAGATCACACTTGTAATTATCCACTGTGAAATAAGCTGTACGGCGCCGGTTGCTGTCCCGGCTCGGGGAGGCTGCACCACCCCTCACTCACCCTGGCGCTCAGGGCCGCCTTCTCAACGGCTAGTGCAGCAGGTCCCACCGTGCCTGTGAACGGGGACGTGATGCAGACACCCTCTCCCGAAAGCATTAGCATCCGCCGCACACGCTTCAAGTGGTGGCAGAATGGGATGAGTCTATGCCAAGGTTGACTGAGAGCACACATTGGTCAAGGATTCTTCTAAAAACCTGTGTAACATGTGAATGATTTGATTCTCGTGGGATGGTTTGCTGCGTTTCTAGAAGAGCATGGCATGATTTGCCTCGGTAGCTCCTACGTTGTCTGCCTCACAACCTGCAATCCTGCCCACGCTCAAATCAGCCCCGAGCCTAGGGCTCCCAGCAGCACGCCCGCCCGCCCTGGAATGCGTTTGCGCAGGCCTTCCCACAGCCGCTGCAGGCCGCCATAGTGGATGTGTGTCGCATGGTGTGTGGTCTCTGATATTCCTTATAACTCTTCTGTTCTCATCTCCTGTTTTTCCTTTCTATTTCAATTACTTTGAGCAGCATCAAGAAAAAATTACCAATCCACCAAAATGCGTAAGTCCCCCTGTGAAGCCATGAAATGCTTGCTCTACATGACGCCATTTCATGCTTCTACACCCTAAACTCTGACCATTTTCTCCTCTGGGAAAAATGTCAAGTTTAGGTGTCGATAGCTCTCCTTACTGACTAATCACTACAACCTGAATTGGAAGAGATAACAAAACCTAAGCGAGTGGAGTGTGCAGTCTGTTTTTAGAAAGAGCTTTAAAAAAGAAAAAAAAAAGTGCCAAGCCCACCTTGCAAGGCCTGTGCACACGCACTGACGTTCGTTTTGTTCACGCTCCTTTGACCTGCCCCTCACGCAGATGTCTCCTGGCGCCCTTGCCCCCTCTGACTGCGCTGCCCTCTGCCCACAGGCTGGCCCACCCCGAAGGAAGCCTGCCGGACCTGGCCCTGCTGAACCCTCCCGCCAGCCTGGAGAAGCCCGAGGGCACGCTGGTGGCCGAGCCTGGGGAGGAGACACCAGAGGGGCTCTCTGAAAAAGTGGAGAAGGGCGAGCTTGGGAAAGACAGCGAGGATGAGGAAGATGAAGATGAAGATGAAGAGGAGACATCAGGTGATCCATCTGCTGCCCGGCGCCGCTCAGAAAGTGCTGGCAGACAGGCCGGGGAACGAAGCACTCACTTGACCAAACAGATATGTATTTGGCGCGTTCAGTGAAACAGAAATCAGGGTGTGGTATTTGGGCGGCTGTAGTTTAATTTCTGTTCCATTTGCTCGAATGATTTCCTTACGATTCTGACTTAGAAGAAGAGAGCGGATGGCTGGTTATCAGCTTCTGCCCCGCAGTGTGACCCAGCAGGAGACCAGAGGGGCCTGGCTCTTGCCCGCATGCAGGCGGCAGCCTCAGCCAGGACGCCCCCCAGATCAGAGTCAGGCAGCTGTGCGGAATTCCCGAAAGCTCTAGACGTGTCCTTCTCAAACACATCCTCGAAGAAATGATTTTGAGGCTTTTCCAGGAAACTGATCATTAAGAATATATTTCTCATCCTGCCCTAATGTTTCAGGACACAGGAGCTGGAGGGGAAAATGAACGGTTGGATAATTATCATTCCAGGTCAACTCCTAGAGACGTTTTTTCTTGTCATTGTTATTTAGATTTTTCCCTCCTTTATTCTGTAGGCTCTTCTTTCCTGTTTTTCTTCATAGACTTGAAACAGTGTTTTAATAGGGCCTGCTGAGAATATATGACCTTGGCGGCCGTGAGGCACTGCTTGACAGTCTGCAAGGTGGCAAGCTTAATTTGTTCAGTAGTTCCCAGAAAGCATGGGAGGAACCAGAAAACAGAGCCTTTGGGGTGATGTTCTGGGCCTGCAGCATGTGTCTTTATTGTGCTCTGTGCTTTCTAAAAGTAGACAATAAGAAAGCATGAGGCGGGAGATCCCTCCCCAAATCAAACTGCCCCCAAACCTGGTTCCCTTCCCCTACTCATCTCAGAAGATCCTAGGAGAGGCCCTGAAGCGTGCTCTCCATATGTGAGCAGCGTGTGCTCCCCAGTATGAAGGGGGAACCCGGCCCTGTGGGACCAAGGAGTTGGGAAGGATTTTGTGATTCTGCTTTAACAAAGGTGGCAGCTTTACTAATAGGGTCTCACCAAAAATTGGACTGCACCTGTCCTCTCACTCCCTCAGTGCAGCAAAGAAGCATTTTTTTCACAATAACCAAAACCTCGCTTAAACTTTCAGAACCAAACACAGTGTTTTAATCACTCAGGAGACACTTGGCTCTCGTCATCTGCCAGGGCTTGTGAGCTTTTGTCCATGGATGTGGTGACGTGTTGATTCCACAAAACAGTCCCGTTTTTATCTGTCATCCACGTGAACCAGAACAGTCCTCCTAGACAGAAGCATCACTCCAGCCAGCAAACATGACTCCCTAGCACAAGGGAGAAAGCAGAAAATGACTAATTTGATTAAAAGTTATGATTAAAATGAGTCTGACCACATTTTGTGAACTGAGACTGGCTCATTCTGATGCCAAGTGTTGACCGTCAGTGGTGAGAGCAGCTCTTCTTGCCTCTGGCAGCACAGCGTGCCGTCTGGCTTGAGCTTTACCTGCTCTCTAGTCAGGTCCTGGCAAGGAGCATGGCACTTACAGAAGCACGGCTTTGGCAAGAAAAATGTCATTTAGGTGGAGCTCGTGTTACTTAATATTCCCAGGAAATGAGGGAATTATAGCTCAGCTTTAAGAGTAAATAAGGTCAAAATCATTCTTCTCACTAATTTAAGTAAAAGGGAGATAGAAGTAACCTTGTCCCGCTGAGTCTCAGTATACGAGTGTACACTACCCTAGGCATCATCGCCATGTGGGACTCTTAGACCACCCTGGCTCCAGGATTTGGTAGTCTTAGAATTCACCCACTACTATTATTTTGCTTTTTCTTATTCCAAACTGAAAGTTACAAGATATGTTTTAAACAATAATGCTAAAAACCAAACAAACAACAAAACCTTTCTATGCTCTCGGGTGAATTACTGTTTTGCAGATTTAAGAAACAAATGGCATCTGGTGATTGACCGCCTCACTGTGCTCTTCCTGAAATTCCTGGAGTATTTTCACAAGCTGCAGGTGTTCGTGTGGTGGATTTTGGAGTTGCACATCATCAAAATCGTGTCATCGTACATCATCTGGGTTTCTGTGAAAGAGGCAAGTGAGCATTGTTGTATCACCAGGCCAGACAGAACCACAGCGGGTCATTATTTGTCTTTTCCAATTGTCCATGATATTTTGGAAATGTAATTCCAATACATTAGAACATCAAGGCTCTAAGATAGGCACAGACACTTTATTTTACAGAAAAACGAAGGACAGTTGTCCTGAGAAGAAGGGAAAATAAGAGGAGAGAAAGCTGCCCCTGGCTTAGTTCCAAGTGGCTTGGTCACAGCACAAAGATTACTTATTTTCATCTAGTCTCTAGTTGAAGTGAGAGCAAGCTGATTTTCTGTACTGCAAGTGAGAATCTATCTCCCTAAATTCTCTTTGAGAAAAAAAAACAATAGTTTGTTACCAAAAAGTAAACTTGGGTTCCAAATTTAATAAAATCTTTAGTAGAGCTCACCTTGTTTATTATTGGATTTTTTGAGACAAGACATAGTCTTTCAATGTTATAATTGCACTTCTGTTTTCTCATCTGTAAAGAGGAGAGATTCAGCCAACAGTATTTGATGTTTACTGTGGAGAGATTAGCTTTCTTCCAGTTTATTCAACCAACAATTTTCACATACTTCTAATTTCCCTGAACTATTTTATAGTGACAATGCAAAGACTCTTTGCTCTCTGAAAATTATAATTTTTAAAAAGTTACATAATAATATAATATTATAACTACAGTTCTATAAACCTAAAATGTTTCACAAATAGGTAACTAAGGGACAGACCTTAATTCGAGTTCCCCAGTCTAAGTTAGAACTTTTCCCCATTTCGTACAAACCATCTGAAATGGATAAGTGATCATTGCCAGGCAGGAACAAAAACAGCAATCACTCTCCCTATGAGATTTGTGGCTAAAAATGACATAAGCTCCATTGTTAAGTAATCAATTCTATACATTAATTAGAACTACAATCTAGCCTACTATGTATATTAATTGAGAACAAAAGATTTTTAGCATTAGAACTGAATTGGTGAATTGACTAATTTAAGCAGAATTTGAGAGTCAGAATATTAAAGAGCAATGAAAAAGGAAAAGAGGCGGCATTGGCTAAAAATGAGCAAAGGCCATTTCTGAATTATCCAACTCTGATACATCGATGACTCTTGATGGCATGAGAAATTGTGTTGCAGAGGTGTGGAGGCACACTAAACAATTTAATGATGGGAGCGGGCATTAAACAAGAGAAAAACTAGTGTGACTAGGACTCAGAAAATCCATGATCTGAAATCCATTCTAGAAAGTTCAGAAAGAAAGTGGCTAAAATGATACCACTTTCTTAACAAATCCTAAACAAAAGGCAGACATATATTTTTAAATCATCCTTAATGAGTCTAAAGAATGTCTTGTTAACAAACTATCGAACAATAAAAGATCATGATCTCTTCACTCTGTTACCCCATTAGTAAAACATTCCTTCTCTGTGATTCACACACTGTGTGGACTTCCACAGTTTTTATTCTTCGTTCCATTTCTCTCACCTGTAACTTTAAAATACATTGGAAGCTCATGAGTCAGAGAAATTCTGCTCCTACCATGGTCTAGTATCTGTCAGAATCCCATTGGTGTAAAATGGTTTAATCCCCAAGTGTAACTCTTAGTTTCATATGATGTCATTCTGCCCCTGGATGCAAAACACTGTCATTCCTAGGCCATGGAAAGTCCCACAGTTATCTTAAAGAGAAGGAAAATCAAAATTGTCTATCCACAGAAAAGATTCACACTCTGATGTCTTACCCAGGGAGGAGTGTCTCCTATTTCTAGCTGCTCTTTTTTTTCTCACACATTCCTCCCCTCACCGACTCCACCCCAGTGAACTAACTTCTGTTAGAAACCTCCTGGGCCGGACCATAGACTGGTGGTGGTGGGAGGCGAGCAGGATTGAGGATGGGGGAATTTGACTTGTACTCTCATAGGATGGCCTCACACTCTGGGTTGGATCCGTTAAACCTACCCTTTCCCTCATGGAGGCTCCTCTGCCCTGGTTTCCCGGCATCCTGTCCCCGGTGCCCTTTCTGTTGGAGACCTGTCCCCCTCCCAGGCAATCCCCTTGAGCAGTACTCCCTGTCTCTGCGCCACTGTCCGAGTTTGTTCTTCTGGGCTATTACAGTGCACGTGAGCTGCTCTCATTTTTTCGAGTCTAACCCCACCGATGCACCTCCATTCTTCAGTTACATGTATCTAAATAAAATGCTGACTTTTCCTTAAGGTTTCCTTGTGCAGAGCCTTTCAGTGGCTCACTATTTTCTGTACAAGGGGTTCATGGGCCATAGCATGGTTTTAAAAGGGTCCATCAAAATGTGGCTCCTAGCTGCATCTCCAGCTTCATAGTGCTGCAGTTCACTACTCTCAGCTACAGAACTCCCAGCTGTTTGTGGTCACCTCCTCCCATCACGCTCCTTTATGCTTTCCTGCCTTTGCTTACACACCCTTTACCTGGGATGCAGTTCTCACCTTTCTTGGCCTGGCTAGCTTTATGCACCCTTCAAAGCTCAGCTCAGCATCATCTTTTCCAGGAAATGCTTCCTGAAGCTCCAGATTGGGCCAAGAACCCTTTCGAGTATTCTCACAGGGGCCTGTTTGCATCTATAGTTGATTACTGCTGCGTTACATTGACATCATCTGGTTATATATCTGTCTGCCATACAAGACATACATCTTAGCACATAGGGCAATGCCTTGCACATGCTCAGAACTCCATCAACTTCTGCTGAACTGAGCTGAACTGAATAAATGAAATTGCCATGTTTTGTGGATGTTATGCCATGTTACGTATTTTTGTCCCCATTTCTGATTTTACGTTTTCAGGTGTCTGTGTTCAACTATGTATTTTTGATTTCTTGGGCTTTTGCTCTGCCATACGCCAAGCTGCGCCGTCTGGCTTCAAGTGTCTGCACTGTCTGGACGTGTGTGATCATCGTCTGCAAAATGTTGTACCAGCTGCAAAGCATTAAGCCTGAGAGTTTTTCTGTTAACTGTTCCTTGGTGAGCCTCAAAGACGGGGGAATCTTTCTGACTGGACTTTAGGGAAGTGAGGTGGATATTGGGGGAACCCACATCCCCAGGCACAGTCTGTCTGGCCTTTAAGTCCCCTCAGCAGGTTGGATGTATTCTGGCCTAGAATGCTGGGCCCGAGTCTCTATTCCTGGTGAGATTTCCCCTTGGAAATGGGTCTTTTCCTCCCATTTCCCTCATGTTCTTATGCTCAAAACTGAAGGAGAACAGCTTGAACTCTTCTAACCTGGGGAGCCATTTTTTTACTCTCCTTTCTCTTCTTTTCAGCCAAATGAAAATCAAACGGATATCCCCCTCCACCAGTTGAACAAGTCTGTACTCTACAACGCTCCTGTCGATCCGACAGAGTGGGTCGGCCTGAGGAAGTCCTCACCTTTGCTCGTCTACCTGAGGGTAAAGGCTTCGCTGCGCTGAGTTGGTGCCTCTGCAGTTATTTTCTATAATTTTTCCCCTCAAAACCCCTAATACCACAGCTGATAGGAACCTCATCTTATGTGGCATTTAGAATCACCTTCGACACAGATGACTAAATATTAAAATGAGTATCGTATTGTGCTGAAAAGGAATTTGTCAAGTGGTTTGTGATTAATTGAATAAAGCATGACAGATATAGTCACTGGAACATGCTAGAACCACCAAAGGATTGACGGAGAATGATAATGTCAGGCATTAAAAGATGTCCAAAATCTATTAATTAAGTTTTAAAAAACTTTAGAACACCGTACATAGTATAATCTCTTTTAGATACACAGAAAACAAGGAGTAAAATACAGCAAATGGTCAGAATGATTATTTCTGAAAAGTAGGTGTAGCATTACAAGAATTTTTGCTATCTAAATTCTGTTTCTCTTCGGTTTTTAATAAATGGTGTACATTACATTTAGAGAAAATCAAATAACAAGCATATTTTTGAAAAAGGAACTTCTCCAGCGGTAGTAAGAAACAAAATAAAGTAATATAATTCAGATTTTTCACATTTTACTTTGCTGAATAATCTGAGGAATCTTAGTAATATTATGCTGGCAAGGTACTTAAAAATGAAACATTTATATTCAACACCTGGAATTTTAAAATGTGCCAGGCATCCCATTTCTCTTTGCCTCTGGCAGATATCATGTGGCAGACCATAAGGCAGGTATCATTGGTAACGTTTATAAAGGATATCGGCCATATCTGCTGTTATAAGGTACAAATGATGTCTACCGTAAGGAGCTATTATATGGGTAAAACAAAATTATATTTGAAAAGAGTGATTAGAATAGTATTTGGCACATATGGTTCCATAAATGTGAACTGTATCATTATTATTATTATCACTATTATTATTGTTGTTACTATTTTATCATGCTTCCCAGTCTCTAGCCAGACTTCAGAAGTGTTCAAAAATTTCCCCTCTACTGCTTATCCCACGCCTCCAGCTTAGCCTGTTTCCCAGCCTGTCCTTGCAGAACACGGCAGAAGTGTTTTGCACTTCTAGTTGCCAGTAAGGTTGGACCACCCTCCCAAGGTAACTGGACACTGCTTCCTGGTACAGGTGTGTACTTTTTCAGGAACAGGCTTTTGCCTAGAGAGTCTAGATTGTATTATCATGTAAATTAGCCTGATTTGCATAATAGAGATAACTTCACCTTGTTACCAGAAAACTGGGAAAATGAACATTGAATTCAAGACTATATTTTATATGGCCCTGGCCAGCATGGCTCAGCAGTTGAGCATCGACCTGTAATCCAGGAGATCGGGATTCAGTTCCCAGTCAGGACACATGCCTGGGTTTTGGGTTCAGTCTCCAGTAAGGCGCATGCAGGAGGCAACAGCTGATAGATGTTTCTCTCTCACATCCCTGTTTTTCTCTCTCCCTCTCCCTCTCCCTCTCTCTAAAAAGAATCAACAAAAAGACTTTGTTTTATAGAGGTAGGATTTTATATAGCATTGTACTATTAGACATCAAGAATGGAATAAAATGATTTACTATGAGAACTGCTTAAAATTACCAAGTCATAAAGCTTTCAGCTTCACACAGCGTGTTTTCTTGCTTTGTAGAATAATCTGCTGATGCTGGCCATTCTGGCCTTTGAGGTTACAGTGTACCGCCATCAGGAATACTATCGGGGGCGAAACAACCTCACAGCCCCTGTATCTAAAACCATCTTTCATGACATAACAAGACTCCATCTAGATGATGGACTTATCAATTGTGCCAAATATTTCATAAATTACTTCTTCTACAAGTTTGGTCTGGAGGTGAGTTTTCTTGCTGATGTGTTTTCTTTCTACTTTCTGTGAAAATCCCAATAGCTGCTTTTGGCCAGTGGCCACTGGAGTTTCATCAAGCATCTCCAGGCCATGATTACTGATCCTCAGATCAGCAGGAGAGTCTACCAAAGGGCTTATCTGACCTGGTTGAAAGTTTTCCAAGATCAAGTGCCAGTGGCCCCCTTGCAACAGTGAATTCAGCCTCTCTGGATCTCCGTAGTCTTACAGATACATGGATACCTATCACTTGTCATTTTAACTGGTTCCCGGTAGACAGAAAATGTTATAATTTTTTTTTTCTTTTTTCTGTTTGCTGAAAATGTGACCGTTAGCCAAGATGAAGGTTTTGGCTGTTTTGACCTGAAATGGGTATGGTAGTGCCTGTTCCTTAACAGAATGAATTTGAAACAGTGATTTTTATGAAGAGATCATAGCTGTAGTTCTCTTCACAGTTTGAAATGGTTCTTGTTAATAGTAATGTAGTCAGTTTTTCTCTCGGAAATAATTTGTACAGCAGCTCTTGTCTTCACACTTAAAGACACGCAAAATAACAAGACGTGGCGAACACCTGCAGAGAAACCTACCTCAGGAAGGCAGGTTCCTGCCCCTGCAAAGGACTGACAGCTGACACCACTTCCCTTCCCTGTAAACCCAATATTTTGCCTCTTTTCATCCTTACACAGACCTGTTTCCTAATGTCGGTTAACGTGATCGGTCAGCGAATGGATTTCTATGCCATGATTCACGCCTGCTGGCTGATCGCTGTCTTATACCGACGCAGAAGAAAAGCCATCGCGGAGATCTGGCCCAAGTACTGCTGCTTCCTGGCGTGCATCATCACCTTCCAGTACCTCATCTGCATCGGCATCCCGCCTGCGCCCTGCAAGGGTGCGTGTGCCCCCCCACGCGCCTGCTCTTCCTGCCCACCCTCACGTCGGGCACGCTGGGCACAGGGCAGCAAAGAAGCATACTGACGTTGCTCCCCCGCCTCCTTCCCTGCAGATTACCCGTGGAGATTCAAGGGTTCCAGCTTCAACGACAACATCATAAAGTGGCTGTACTTCCCAGACTTCATCGTGCGGCCCAACCCTGTGTTTCTCGTCTGTAAGTGTTGCAGCCGTGGGGCCACAGGGCTCTGGTATTTGGTTTTATATTTGCCAATCCATCTTCATGCGTTATGCATTAGTGCCTTCGCTTCTTCCACCGCACTTTATAATCATGTAAAAAGCTTGTCTCGATGCATTAATATCACAGGTCATTAATGGCTTCTACTTGCCCTATTACATTTGCAAAATTAATAAATAAACATTGAAATGCCACATTCGCTTTCAGAATTTCACCTCCCAACACACACACACCCTGCTCCCCCACACACACCCTTGCATACCCATCTTCTAGAAGGTAGGCTGGAGAGGGAGGCCTTGTTTTGTGAAGCGGTTTTTCCTGGCTGCCACACAGACCAGATCTGAAGGTAAGACTGTGTTAGCCAGGAAGATGCTGCCCAAATTGCCCATGCTCCTGAGCTGGGTCCCAGCCCCAAGCCCTTTCAAGGGCAGACTGATAATGCAAAGGTCAAGGTTATCCTCTCCCACCTAAGACAATAGGGAGTGCAGGGTGCTGTGGAAAACCAAAGAGTGATTTCACTGCCTGAACACTTTCAGATTTAATTTAAAGAACAACAAAGCAGCTTGGGCTGGAGGCTGCCAGCCCAGCTGGAGTGAGGGCCTGTTCTGGGCTGTTGGCCACAAGGATAGCTCCGTCAGACTTCTCCTCTCTCACAGGCTGGCCCACCTGCTGTCACCAAGCCTTCACTGTAGTATGTGCTCTGGGAAGAGTCTTTGGTCACAAATGCAAAGGGGAGTGGAGATGATAAAGAAAATCAGAAATGTCTGCTTCTACCACATATAAAAATATAAAGATGGGGAAAAATACTCAAATGGCCACCTCAAAACTTTGGTGGGAGATAAATGTAAATAAAGAGTCTCAAAAGCCAATAACTCTCACCTGATACTTTTACTCACCAACATGCAGACAGATCCAGGGGCTCTCCCACTTCGAGCTCCTGGAACGTCTGTGGTCCCTCTTGCAAACCCCATGGTGGGGACAGTGGGATTTGGCCCCAGTGTTGGAATCCAGGAAGAATTTTGGGAACACAACTCCTGTAGGAGTTAAGGAGCAGCTCATGCTGCCTGGGGACCGCTTCCTACCTGTAAACCCGGGTTTCACTATCGTACCTGTCCTGCCAGATGACTTCATGCTGCTGCTGTGTGCCTCCTTGCAACGGCAGATTTTCGAGGATGAAAATAAAGCTGCAGTGCGCATCATGGCGGGGGACAACGTCGAGATTTGCATGAACCTCGATGCGGCCTCCTTCAGCCAACATAACCCCGTGCCGGACTTCATCCACTGCAGGTAACCACAGCTGCACGGTTTCAAGGCCACCTCGGTGTGTGCCTTTCACTCCCAGCGTATACCCTACTTCCCGCTCTCTCTCTGCCATTCTCGGGACACTGACAGGTGAGTGTACAAATGAAGCTAATGAACGTGAGATGGGGGTTCCGTAGTCTAGAAACTAAGCCTCTGAATTATAGAATTATAATGCTTCTGCCAGCATTCACCACTCTTTTTTGCCTCAGTTTTTGTCCTTTCATTTGTACACAGACTGTCATGTGCACATAATACTGTTTCCTGGCTCTCTAGCAGACGTCCCTCCTCCTCACCCCCGGTCCCCCTCCTCACCCTATGTCCCCCCTAGTCAGTGGACGCCGAGGACGACTGGTCACCACAGCTGCCCGGGGCTGGCACTCTCTGGAGCACTGTCTCCTCCACAGCCCTGCGCGGGCTCCCTCTGCAGCACCGTTACTGCCCTCCTCAGTCTGGTGACAGCTGATCTTCCACAGAGTTTTTATTTAAACCAGACTGAATTTCTCACCATGAATTTCCTCTGCATTTTCCCCCCTCACTTTCTGTCTCTGTGTGTCTTTCAGTCAGAAGCAGGCCTCATGAGGGCAGCATATGTATGGGTCTTGTTTTCTTACTCTTTTCTGCTACCCTGTGTCCTTTGATCGGGACATTAAGTCAATTTACGTTTAATGTGATTATTGATAATTATGTAGGTATTGCCATTTTATTATTCACATTTATGTTCCTTTCTTCCCTTTCTTCTTCTTAAAGAAGTTCCTTTAATATTTCTTGTAATAGTGGTTTGGTGGTGATGAACTCCTTTAGCTTTTAAAAGAAATCCATTCTCAGCTGTTCTCTTGCTCTAGGAGGCGTCTGTATCTTAGAATTTTCTTTGCCACACAATTACTCAAGCCTCCTACAAAAAGAAGGGACTTTTGAATAGTCAAGTAATAGGCATAAAATGTTGCTGTTTGTGGAAAATTTGGCCCAAGTCAGATGATGATAAATATGCACGCAGTGTTTTCATAACTCACCTATTCACCCACTACTGCTTCAGTGAGGATTTCCTGTAGACCAGGCAGTGTCAAATGAAAGATGAAAACAGAGCTAACAGTGTGACTTCCAAATTGGAGTCAACTGTATAGTGTGATTTCCCCCCTCATTAAAGGAGAATCTCCCAACTTAATTTCTTTTGGTTTGTTTCAGTTGTTGTCCTTGGATGGTTTGGTTTTGTTTTCCAGATCATACTTAGACATGTCCAAAGTAATCATCTTCAGCTACCTCTTCTGGTTCGTCCTCACAATCATCTTCATCACCGGGACAACCAGGATCAGCATCTTCTGCATGGGTTACCTGGTGGCCTGCTTCTACTTCCTGCTCTTTGGGGGTGATTTGCTCTTGAAACCTATCAAGAGCATCCTGCGTTATTGGGACTGGCTGATTGCATACAACGTTTTTGTCATTACGATGAAAAACATACTGTCAGTAAGTGGCTCCCCCTGTGTAACACATTTGTGGTTTCAGTGTAAGAGTAAACAGTCTATTCAGTGGTTATTAAAAACCCATCGTCCATCACGCTGCTCTCTTAAAAGCCCCAAATGAGATGCTACAAATTCAGAATTCAAATGAACATTTATTACTCTTAGTTTTGCCGTATTAAGCAGAATCGTTTTTGCTTACTTCCACCATCTCAAGGTCACATGATGAGAGAATATGTATTCATAGGAAAAAATTCTAAGACATATTTTATTAATTAAAATCCCATCTCTTCTGAGGACTAATTTATCATCACTCTTACTGTACTACAAAATGGCCCTTTATCATGTTGGCAAAAAAGCCACTCTCTTATCTAGAAAGAGTTATAAAAATATCAAATAAAATGAACATAGTTATCTGTAACCCTGTGTGGGGTGGGAATGAAATGGAATAGGCTATTGAAAGCATGAATATTTTATGTACACATGAGATGTGGGTAGACACAGAGGCAGTCACAGCCTCACGGTTGCCTCTGAACCCAGGCATTCAGGGCCCAGCTAAGGCAACAGAGGGTTAAGGCAAAACCCACCTCTTACTTCTATGAAGTTTGGCTGCTCTGCTGTTAAAGTTCCTTGTTCCAGAGCACAGCCTTCCCCTCACCTGGTAGATAACTCAAACTACCCCCTTGTGATCCCAGAGTCACATAAAATCTTTTAGGACACCAGTTAAGTTGTTATTTCAGGATATTGAACGACAATCTTTCGTGAACTGAAGGAGTTAATACATCTTTAGTTGGCCCTAACTTAAAGTTAATACTAGTGCATGCTACTCCCAGGCTATATCTGAAAATGCGTTAGAAGAACAATGATTTAATGACTTCCTGCTTCTTCCCTTCCTAACTACTTAAAGATGAGCTCACCAGGCAGGCAATTTAACTCTGAAAGCATTTGAGTTTGGGGGGGGATGGCACATGGCACGTGTATTGCTGTGTTTAGAGGTCTTGGAAAGTCAGATCTGTATAACCATGAATATATATTTGAGTAACTTATTTTGTCTACAGTCCATTGAAGTGTTAATTTTAAAAGTGACTTTTATTTATCAATTTCACCTCACCAGTATTTATGCACATTTGGGGTAGTATTGGGAGTTACAGGAGAGGCATGAGACAGGACAACAGAACACCATTTCATTCTAAAGCCAGTCTGATTGTGAAGGATCCACGACTAGAAGCTGATCCTTACAACCAACCATTCCTGGAAAATCTATGTCTACAAAGTCCATTCATTCATTCATTCTGTAAACCTATATTGCACTGTTTTTTGCTAGGCCCCATTTTGTATCTTGAAGAGCTAAAAATAAGTAGTACTCAAATTTTACCCCGAAGGAACTCACATTCTGAAAGGGAAGATCAACCTACTTATAATTATGATATGATCTTTTTATGCTAATTATCACAACAGTTCAGGAAAATAAAACAAAAAAGTGTACCTAATATATTGCCTAGATAAGTTGGGAACAGACTTCTTGGAGGTGATGCCACTTGAATCCATCAGAGGCTTGAAAGATAGATTGAAGGGTATCCAGGGAGACAGAATGGGGAGAATATTCCCAACCTAGGGAGCCTGAACAAAAACATGGCTGTGTCAGTTGAAATATGAATTCAGAAAGCATGTCCTAATGCCAGGTAACTGCTGATTTGAGAGCAAATTCTAATTATATTCTCCTATCTCACATGTTCCCAGGAAATACACACAATTCAGCCATCACTTTCATGTGTTGGCTTACAATGATTCATGTTTATTTAAACTTTTCCCCCCTCAAAATGTGAACTTAACATATGACAAAAAAGCATTGTTATGAGAAAACCGCATGCAAATCAACTAAAAAGATTCCTCTTTACATAGAGAATTGGCCCAAAAAGCCTCAAAATACATACTCTGCCCCTATTCTAAGAACTATATATCAGGCAGTTTATGTTTGTGATGATGTCCTGGCAAATAGCATAAATTTAGTATGTCTGATTTGCCAGGAAGTAACTGTACCAAAATCAAAGTCCTGGGGTTCAGTGCTTACGCATTTACTATCACAGAGTTCAGCTTATTTCTATGATAATCCAAGATTTCGTCTTTGAAAAGAGAGGTGCTTTCACGTGCAGCAAACGTCACATTAAAGATGCTTCCTTCACTCATTGGGCTTAATTTTCCCTAGGAAATGATGGTGCCCCTGAAGCATTGATAGCACTACCCCATGGTGACTGTAATTTTAAATACTGTCAGCCCCTCCCACAATCATTAGCACTGAGACTTTGTGGATCCTTGCACATGTTGGGATCACAAGACATCAAGCTTTTTTCCAGGGTGCAGAGTTTCAGGATTTGCATTTTCCGTTTGTTTTTCAGATAGGAGCATGTGGATACATTGAAAAATTGGTTAAAAATAGTTGCTGGTTGATCCAAGCTTTCAGCCTGGCCTGCACAGTCAAGGGCTATAAAATGCGTAAGTATGAAAAGCATATTTGGGAATGGAAGAACAAAGAAGAAAGAACAACTGTATTGTTCTAATTTAAAAGTTGGGCCAAAACATATGAAGAAAAGAGATAAAAGTGGAGTTCAATTTGATCTGTACATGGAGGCTATAGGATTGCACTGCTTTATGAATCTATTGTCCATAACAGGAAGTGCTCCTACTCTGGACATCTTGGATTGTCATCTAAAAAATCCCCAATCCTGGCAGCTCTGGGGACTGGGTGTTGCCTGTAGTAGTAACTCCCTGAACCTTTTTGAATTATGATTAGAAAGGGTTACAAATGCCCACTGGAACCTGTGGTGGTTGAGATTAGAATCTTGGGTCATCAATGTAATCTGACTTCTAAGCTTTTCTCTCCTCTGGAAGCTCAAAGAACCTCAAATTTGGAAACAAATGGGAAGAGCTGCAGGATTTCTAGAGTTACACTCCCACCAGGACAGAGGCAGGAGTCCCATTTCCATCTCTCTGCCTCTTGCATCAGAAGCCAGGACAACACCACACATAGTCCTCCACGGTGCCTAGAATGGGGGCAACTTGAATATGATGCTCCCACACTACGGCTGCCAATCCAGCCTTCACTTTGCCCAGGATAAAGAGTCACTGGGAATTTTCCTGACTTAGGATCACATGTGCTGTTGAGAACCCTTCTTCTAATAGACCCCACTGTGCTGCCTGCCTCTGGGTAGAGCCCATTTCCAGAAAGGATGTTTTACTTTGTACCAGAGCATTGCCTCTGGCACTGAGAATACAGACATTGTTTCTTTATGGACTTTGTTGGGGGCTTGGGGGAAGGGCTCCCTCTCTCCCTAAAAGAGAGGAATGCTCAGGAGCCCTCTTTGGCAAAGAACCCCTCCTCTGCCTTACATTGTCAAGAGCTCACTTTGTGGTCAGGCTTATTGATCAATGTTCATATTGGATCTGAAGCGCGTGGCCTTGCTCGCAAATAAATCAACTCATAAGTGAGTTGATGCATCAGGATGTTGCTGGTCATGCCTGTGTGATTTCCCAAGTCCGATCATACCCCAGGTTTCATAAAATAACAATGAAAATGGATGCTAATTTTAATTATTTTTCATCTTTCACCCCAGCGGATAGTGATTCTTCATGTAAACTACCCAGTGGTGAAGCGGGAATTATTTGGGACAGCATATGTTTTGCCTTCCTCCTGCTGCAGAGGAGAGTTTTCATGAGTTACTATTTCCTGCACGTTGTGGCGGATATAAAGGCTTCACAGATCCTGGCATCGAGGTAGGGCAGGCTTCTTCATAGACTCCACTCTTCTTTCAGTTTTTGCCCCTGGCCTTGTGAGTTTAGGGGGAAAGACTTGGAAGGGGAGTAAGTATTAAAAGGAAGGCCATCGAGATGGCTGGGTGCACGATCCCCTAGACTGCTGCATGCACATCAGAGACGCTGGCCAACTGAGCGGTGCACGCAGTGACCTTGCATTCAACTGACCTTGAGAGGTGAGACTCAGAACCAGATGCCAGTGAGCTGGGGTTGGAAGTACAGGTTTGGAGGAGAAACCTAATCTGAACTCACTTCTCGCAAATGTTCCCCTAGTGGGACAACTGGAGTAAGGTCAGGAGAGCAACACTGTGCTGAGGTCCGACGTTCTGTGGGACAGGCTTGAAGAGGCGCGTGGCTTTTAATGTCTTAGAAACCACACACCATTTTATTTTTACTGATCTCTCAGGGCTGTGAGCAGCCACTCTTCCCTGGGGGAGGTTGCATGATGTCTGTCCACTCGGAAGGGGCTTCTAGAAAGGGCCTTTGTGACTCCCACCCCCCTCCAGGGAACTTCAGTCAACAGCCCAACAAGAAATGTTTTCTAACCCTTAGTCAACATTTGAGGGGAAGGTGAGTTACAACAATAGTGATACTAATTTGTTCTGTGTTTCCGATTTTCTTTCAGAGGGGCTGAACTTTTCCAGGCCACAATTGTAAAGGCTGTAAAAGCAAGAATTGAGGAAGAGAAAAAGTCAATGGACCAGCTGAAGAGGCAGTAAGGATGCTTCCTTTGTCTCCCCTCCTTCCCTTTTATTTTTGGCTCGTGTGATCCCATTCAGACAGTCTCAGCTCTCGAGGACACTCAGCCCTCTGAGAAATCTATTTGTGTTAACTTTCACAACTCCCTAGGTGTTTACCCTCATGCCTGATAGGCTGAAAACGGAAGTCACTAAAAAGAAAGAGGCTGCAGTGTGCTAGAGAGGGAGCCGGCTTGGGTAAGGCCCGTGTCAAGTGTTAGTTTGGGGGCTTGCTTGGAAACTTGAGCAAGTCATTCCCACTCTCTGAATTTTAATTTTCTGTTTTAAATTAGGGCTTACAATTCTACCAGAGTTTTTATTTAAAGATTAAACAAATTAATGGCTGAGACGGCATCTTTCCCAGTACCAGGCACTTGGAGTAAATGATCATTAATTACATCTGTGGGTTAAGGGAATAAATGCAGAGTTCTGGCTGTGGAAGGATCTTCAGAGATAATATAATCCAGCCTCTTCAGGAAGAAACTGATGACCCATGATATTAAATAATTTAAAATTCACAACTAACTAGAGGCAGCATTAAAAATACTACCTGTATTTCCCTATAGTAAGTTTAAGACCTTTTCCACCACAACATTCTGGAGAAGTCAAGTAATGTACTGACGTCACCCAGGAGATTTGAGAATCCTGAATTCTGGGTGGTTTTTGTTTGTTTGTTTTTAGCACATTGTAAAGAATTTCTTAGGGTGAAATTTCTAGCAATGAATGGAACTTCTGAAGATTGGTAGCCCTTCATGTTTTTGGGGCCAGGTTTAAGAGCTATCAATGGCCTAGAATTCAGGATCTAGCCACTTTCTCCAAGAAAATGGAGATACTCCATCAGCCCACAGGAAAAATCCCCTGAGTTTGCTTAGACTGCTTCTTTTTATTCTGACCTCATTTTTACCCATGCAAAAATATTTGCTATATAAATTACACAATCCTATGGCAGGGTTATTTTCACAAAAATATAAGCTCTATAGTGTAACTGTCACTATTGTTGTTTCTAACTACCTAAATCAAGTCTAGAGAAATAGCAAATTTGGACCCACACCTGGAATGTGTTTCCATAAGTGAAGCTTGTTACTGTGATTCATTTCACGAAATTTTTTCATTTGCTTAAGTGACAGAAGGTCAGAATAAAAAAGAATGAAGGCGATGATCATTGCAGAAGACAAACTGAAAATGTGTTTGCTGCACAACGCAGAAATGGTACTTCAGTCAGTTTTAAAACTTGAGCAATATATCCAGAATTTTAAGACACTAAATTATGCAATGAAACATTTCAGGAGTGCAGATTTGGGAAGTAGAGTTCAACATTGGAGCTTCTAAATAGACTTTCTAAATAAGCAGACAAAATGAAGATACTGAATCAACTATTAAAGATTTTTTCCAGAACCAAGAAGAGATTGGATTTGAAATAGAGAAGAGGCATATGACCTAACAAAATACTTACGGACATTTAAGGAGTGACTTGCTATTTACAAAACAGTTCTCACATTTCATATATTTTGCCATTTGACGTTCACAACAACTACATAAGGTAGACAGATATTATTAAAAAATGCAAAGCCTGGGAGAATAAAGAATATTTTATAAGTTCAGAATGGCTATGGTACAGGGTGTAAGTGGACATAAAGTATTGCACATCAAACTTGAGCATAATTATTATTGGTCATATTAGACTAGCATCTGTGTAGTGAAAATTAATGTGGTTATATTTTAAAAAACATGGAGATGCTTGTTCCTCATAAGAAACCATTCACAAGTCCCAAATATTTACCAGTTTGTTCATGCTTTTAGCTATATACGTAAAAGCGTAAACCCAAAGTATAACCGTATGATAACTGCGGACGTGTTCTTGGCATTGCTGCTGCTCTTGCATCTTACAGGATGGACCGCATTAAGGCCAGGCAACAGAAATACAAAAAGGGTAAGGAGAGGATGCTGAGCTTGACCCAGGAGTCAGGGGAAGGCCAAGACATCCAAAAACTCTCGGAAGACGATGACGAAAGTATGTCGAGACATTTCCCTGTTACTCTACCTTGGCGTTGAACGATAGCATGATATTGGGTGGCGCTGTAAAATAAGGTCACTTTTCATTCTGCCAATATCATCGTATTTTTTTTAACTTAACAAGTTTTACCTTCCCATTGTGAATGGGATACCTCTATTTGTTTCATAAAGTACATATTTAATGAATCTATGGCTTGACAAGTATCTTCTCTTTAGAAAGACCACTTAAGTCAACAAGTAACCTAGCTTCCGCTCCACAGACTTGTTTCTGAAGAAAATGGGCATAAATCTGCTTTATTTGTTCCTTTAAGGAAGATATTTCAGATATGAAATCTGTAATCTTTGATTTCTATATGTTTTATACAAAAACTTAATATGTGTGCATATTTTATGTGGTGTCTAAATGGTAGTTAAAATGTCATTTCATTATTGTCTATTCCAATGAAACTTAACATGAAATATATATTTATTATATCTAATTATAGATATATCCAATTAAGTTTAAAAGTTCTTCTTATAGATGTTTGCATGCTTTTCTGTTTAAAGGGAATGAAGAAATAATGCATGATAGTATCTATTAATTACCAGTAAGTTTATATTTTTTAAACTATACATTAAAATAATCACAAGAAAAATGTCTGGTTAGGGGAATAGATTCATTTTAACAAATTAATTGCCACTAAATTGTTCTATAAATTTTGGGTGATGCTTCTTTTCTGTTAATTTGAAAGAAAATTTAGTGTGAAATGCATTTTTGACAGATAATACCTTATTTTCTATGTTTTTTTTCAATGTTACTAAAAAGAAATGAAAATGTGGCATGATGTTAATAGAACACAGTAATTACCTTGTGCAATCAACTGCTAATACATGTCAGCTTTTCAGATTCAGTGTAGTTCCTTTTCCTGACCTCTGATGTACTTTTACAACTTGTCTAGATTTTGACAATTGAGTTGTTAAAGCGTGGTTTTCAAAATTTGTTTTCTCACTTTATAAGCATTAATATTTGGACATATTTTATTTTAGGAGAAGCAGACAAACAGAAAGCCAAGGGCAAAAAAAAGCAGTGGTGGCGGCCTTGGGTTGATCATGCTTCCAGTAGGTTTTCTCGATCCTCTTACAATTTCATCAATTCTAACCCTTATATCCTTGACCAGAATTCAGGCATCCCCATGGCCTGTGTGTTTTAATGCATGGTTTGATCCTTGTGACTTGATAGGGGGTCAGAGTATAGGAAAATTTTGATAGGAATGGCTCTCTGAGCCTGTATACAGAATCTTCCAGAGAAAATAGCTGGCTGAAGAAAAGCAAATGTGTGGCTTACCTACTCCTGAGCACCACTTATGGGCTCAGAAAGGGAAGAATAATTGACTTCGATGTTATCCACTTCTGAGGTCTAGAGCCCTGCTAATGGGCATTTGTTTTATTTGTTTTATGACTTAAAACCCTTAATAAAAATAAGCTGCTGATCATTACATTTAAGGTGTTTGTGACCCTCTTTGTAGGCATGGATGCCGATGAGCCTCCCCTACCCTCTTTCTCAGAGCTTTGATTTAATTTGCATGTAAGGATCTTTTGCAATTTATTAAATATAAAAATGAGGACAACTTAAAATGCATTTACTTTTTAACTCTGCCTCCTCCCTAGTTTCAAAAAGGCTCTGAAACTACATTTCCGAACCGGTTCTCAGCATGTGGTCTCAGAGCCACCTGCAGCTCAGCCATGACCGATTAAGAGTAAAGTCAGAAAACAGTTTTTGAAAAGCAGAACTTGATAACCACATGGAATTAGTGCTTTTCTCTCCTGATCATAAAAAAATAATGAGGAATTATGCAACTGTGTGGCTACATTTGTTCTGCTTAGCAAAGTAGCGACCACCATCGGCCAGTGGTATTTTAATGGAATGATCCATTTGAATCTAACCCTCCTTAAATGTATTAGAATATTGAATAATTATTAATTGTTTTAAAAATTACTTGTAATATCTTCAGTCTTTTATATCTTATTGTTTCAATAACTGTTGCTAATATACTCAGACAAGGGATATCACCAAGGCCCATAACATGGCAAGATAATGAGAGGGTCTCAACCAATGGGATATTTAGAATCACTAGAAAATCAAATTGATCAGAATCTTTTTCTGTACCTAATTCTTAGTGTCACTGAGAGCTGGTATTGGCTTCTCTGATTCTGGAAATAATTTTTTGAAATCAGTAAGCTAATTTAATGAAGCAATATTAAAAATTTGCTCAGTATACATGGATGTAATTAAATATAATTCCAAATATTGAATTTTAGCATCGCGGCAGGAAAAAAAAAAAATCCATCAGTTATAAAGAATTTTATTTTATTTTCTGCCCAGGTCAAAAGGCAAAGATTCAAGTTGAAATTCTGTGTGACTCTTTAACTTATTGTCATTGGCGTGTTAGTCATGCTAACAATCCAACAATGCATTGCACTGTATGTCTATTTCTATCAAGTCACAAGTAAACTATGCCTATTTTTCTGTTTTTAAAGGTCCTTTGCTAGTTTAGAGAGACCTATCCATTTCAAAATTGTGTACTGAATGTTTTGTTCTTTCAGCTGGGGTAAATTCCCATTGCAATGATTATGGTTGTATTTCCTTTATCATCTAAACATTGCATTTTGGAAGGATTTGGATATGGTCTTTGATAATCATCTTACAAGTTGGGAATAAGTTAAAGAACTTCCTATGAAGGGTATTGTCTTTAGATTTTCTGATTCATTTCACCCTCATTATATCAAGTTCTTGAAAACTGGTATTAAAACTAAATGTGCCTTGTTACAATACCTTATGGTGCAATAATGCATGAATGTGTGCAATTCATAGATTGGAATCAGATTCTGAGCATGGTGTTAAAATTTTTCTACAAAACATATTTCCTTTACAAGCTTGTGAGGAATGGAAAGGAACGAATATGTAGACTATAACAACTTCCAAAACTTATCTTCAGATCTGGAAGCACTTTATTAAAAGCTCTTATTTCTTTAAAAGTCACTGAGCTTTTAAATAGATATTTCTTAAAGATGTCAAACATAAAAATAAGTGTAATTGGAATACCCTTTTGTAAATCCATTGACAATATAATAATGTTGCTCTGTTGTACATATTATTGGTAAGCATTCAAGATCTTAACATAGACTGCAGGTGACAAATCTCCCAGTTCCATACCTATGTGCACACATACGATTGCATTATTGCTATTCAATGATACCTTCCATTTCAGTGTAGTACGTCTTCATGTCCCTTCAGTCCTAAGTCAATTCCATACCTCACTTTATTGTTAAATATCTGAAATAAAAGACTCTATTTCGGGGGTAGGATTTTAAAAGTTATTATCATACTTAGTCATTCAGCAATAACATTGACATCCATAATACATAATACATGGACACTGGGTGGAGGCAGGCTCTCTACCTAAACTAACAAAGGCATGTGTAAGAGCTTCTCTACTCATTGTTAGCAGATAGCACTAGAGAAAATATTCTCTGTTATTTTCCTAGTTTCATTTCAATAACATTTTATAAAGAATAGAAAATGTTTAACATTTTTCTTTTTCTAATGTGTTAATTCTACTTCTCAGATACAAATTGGTAGTTTTTTAAATTATAAAATCAACACTATGACTACCTGAGATGAAAACTGGTCAGGCTCACAGTGTCCACATGGATAAAAGTTATAGAAGGTATGATTGAATACAATTTAAGCTACTGTTGATTTTAGAGACTATAATGAGGGTAAAATGCTCAATCTTAAACTTTTTACCAAATGACCATGTGACGTCCAGTCCATGTAACTTTCCTGCAAATCTCTGAGCTTACATGAAGGCATTACTTTAATGGTCTTCTCACTGTCAAACGTAATGCTGTAACTTTGGTTTGTTCTTGCTTACTCTTACCTTATGTTATATTGCATTTATTTCCTCAGGCCTGGGCCCAGTACTCTGGGCCTGGTTCTTTCTTCAAAATAAAAATAACAAATCACAGTGCTTCTGTTCAAGGATATAAGGCCCAATCCATTCACTCTGCGTCTTCATGGATGGAGGCCTCAGATATGTCTGAAATCACGGGCAAAATTATTTACCTTTTGACCCTGTTAGTGATAGCCAAGCAACTAATTTTCAACAAGCCAAGGTTTTTCGTTACATTACAATGTTTAAGTCCAAAAGGTAACTGAACACATCATGTTATGCCATCCAAAAGACAACTCAGCATTTGAAGACATGACTATAACTCGACAGTCTGAATGTTTTCCTGCAGTGATGGTATGGTTCTTGTAGCATCAGCAATGTATATGCTGGGTCTCTTTTCTCTGAAAAACTTAAAATAATGATCAAAATGATAAAATTTGATCCTCAAATTTCTTTAACTCTCTGGACATCTCAGCTTTTTCTAATTCCAGCTCTTAGCACAGCAGTATGTTCTGGCAGGGAAAGTATTAAGTAAAGCAAGGACGACCTGTACTGTTTATGCTCAGTACAGGCCTCCTCATATTTCAGTAAGTGCCTGGGGAGCTCCTGGTTGACTAGAAGTCTAACAGCACTAACCTGTACGAACCATGTCTGCCGTGCCTCAGTCTGTCCCATGCTATGCGTAGAAACAGCCAGAGTGGTGGTGGTAGTGATGTTATTGCGGTTGTGTTCTTTTTTTAATGTTACCCACCCGTTTCCTCCTCATATCAATGTGTTATTGAAAAACAAAACCTCTTTCAAGTGTCTTGCCATATTTGTTATGTCCCTTGTGTCACATGTGGAGAAGCCAGGTCTGCACAGTATAAAGTGAAGTAGAAGGTTGGTGACACTGATTCTTGGTCCTGAATCTTCCTGATTGGCTTTTCTACAACAGTTTGGATCCATTTGGACAACACCAAGCCTTCCACTTTACTTTGGCCTTGTCTAAAGGACCAGAACTGCTGAATTGCAAAATAGTTTTCAGTTCTTTTGGTCATCTTAGTAACAAAACTGGTTGCTGCAGAGTTGATCTGATACATCTGTATGAAATTTACAATGAAGAAGGAAGAAAATACCAGATCAACCCAGTCGTGGCCAATTCTCTTACATGGCATAGACAAGGCCTCGTGCTCTGTAGACCCATTCATGCCAGCAACACGTAGCATAACCCAAGACGAATCCTCCTCATCTCCTGTTTTTTCCTCCCTATCAACATCTCTTTTTGGGGTCCTTTTATGGAAAATTTATGTGTATCTTTGGGGAGCATTTCATTAATAATCCCCTGATTATCTTGTATCTCTTTCAAGAAATAAGCAAATGTTTTGTTCTGCTTAGTGGTCAGGAGTGGAGACTATTATTTGTTTGAAACGGATAGTGAAGAGGAAGAAGAGGAAGAAGTGAAAAAGGAAGAAGAAGAGCCTCCAAAGAAGTCCGCTTTCCAGGTAATGAGGGGGCTTGGGAAGCCATGTTCTGTGCTAGGTGAGTTTTCTTCTTGACAGGTTGTGATTAAAAGCCCGGACTCCTGCCGTGTTGTAGCTCCCAGAAGCTCCTTCCCTACACCTGAGATTGTTTACCCCTCATTAAACTAACGTTGCTTGCTCTCAGCGTTTCCACAATTGCTACCAACCAAGAACAATGTTCCAGTCAGGTCTTCATTCACTTGCTTCAGAAACTTTTCTGATGCCATAAACAAAAAAATTAAACTTCTTTGCATGAACTGTATTTTCCTATTGCAAGCAGGAGGTGAAAAAGACTTATCCGGCCTTGTTTTGGATTGCTCGAGTGGACTTACATTTTAATACATAGAATAGTTGATCATGAAAATAAGACACTTGCTTTGTTTTAAAACCAATGGTCATTTAAATGTTACTTTGCTTTGAAATTCAGTTTTATTCATATTGCTAAAGATTTGAGAATATATTGAAATAATGAAAGTATCTAGCACAGCTCTGAGTTTTTTTCAGCTTAATTGCCTTTTTTTTTTTTTCAGAACCTGCTGTACCATTCTCAGTTGTATAGCTCATTAGCCTAAGTATTGGGTACCCAGTAAACGTATAATCAATGTTACCTAAACATGATAATTTGTCAGAAGAGTTACATATGGAATGAGAGCTTGATATATATTTATATGTATATGTATTTTAGGAAGGAGACACATATTAGGAGTCATTGTACTGCTACAAGCACCTAGAATTACAGGCTGTGTCCTTGAAGAGGCCATTGTCAGTTTGCTGGCCAGGTCTTCTCATGCTGACAGGTTACATCCACCCTTTTTCCCAATGACACCGAAGAACCAAATTATTCACGGAGACGCCTTGCTCTGATGCTTTCCCACCGGCCCCCCTGCTAACCTAACGTGTTTCTCCGTGACTGTGTCTGTGTGCATGTGTGCCGCTGGCTTGTCCAATACTAACCACATGACTCGTTCAGTTTGTACTAATGACTTTTATTCTAACTCATCATGCAGCAGCGGAGAGACCATGATCGCCTTCACTGTCTCTATGGACCACTTGCAACAATTGGCTGTTTTTCTTTATTTCTAACCTGTCAGCAGAGCACATTTTATTCTAGCTTCAATGACTGGCACAGTTGAACCTAGTTGATGTAATTGTAGAGACGAACTCATACTGACATCATATATTAAATTTTTAGTGTTTGGTTTTTTTCTACTAATTACTCTTGCTTTGTCCTTCTTTGTAGAGAGCTATTGGGAAGTTTGCATCAGCCATTTTAGCCTTGCCAAAGTCTGTCATTAAACTTCCCAAAACTATTCTTCAGTATTTAATCAGAGCTGCAAAGGTATTTGATGTTTTCCTGGTGTGTGGTGTGCGACCCTCTGCTCCGTAGATCTTTAGACAAGCAGACCCCTGTTGCTACATCTGCATTTTCTCTGTCCTATAGATGGCACAATGAAGGACGTATAAGACTTTCAAACGTGAGACAAACTTTCCCACAAAGAGTTCCGAGAGGCCAAATTTCATATGATCTGATCGTTGTTTTTCCGTGGACACCAGAGCCTATTGAAAAATAGGAAGAAAAAATGCAGATATACATCTACTTTCTGTCCTTTTTGTAGTTTTGTCTAAGTCACATCTCACTCTGAAAGGGTCACATCTGGTTGCATGCATCAGTTACGATGTGTGAAAAGGACGATAATTTTTCTCAGAAAGCTGGTGAAATTATGAATAAGCTCATAAAAGATTCCATTTGCCCCACCCCTTCTGCCGTCCTGCTAAGTCGTCATCTTCCTAAACTGGACGTCATGTCCCGCTTTTCGCTCGGAATTCAGCGCGCCTGCTCCCGGGCGGCACTGCCCTGCCCCTTCCCGGGGACTGTGACGGCGCTGATGGGCTCTCCTGCCAGCTGCCTCTGCTGTGTCACTTCATTACTGAGAGTCACAGGCAGGAGTAACCCTTCTCGTGCAGTACTTTAAAGGAAGCCTTCTCCTGACTCAGTCCGAGGCCAGCCCTAAAACTCTTAGGTCTTTATGCTCTTCAGTGTTCAGCAAATGGTTCGGATAGTGACCAAGACCAGGGCTTCTCACCGTTTATCTGGGGATCTTACTTAAATGCAGGTTATAGAAGTTCAGCAGGTCCTGGGTGGGACCTGAAATTCTGTATTTCTCTCAAGCTCCGGGGTGAAGCGCAAGCAGCTGGTCCACCTTGAGTAGCAGGATCTAGTACTCTAGGTTCCTGCCATTTTTTTAAATGCCAGGATCCTGATTCTTAGTTTAATATTCACTGTTGTCCCTTCCCTAGGACTCTTTTCTCTTTTATGACTACCATATGAGTCTCTCCATCCATGTAAAAGAATTTCTATGAACGATTACAGTGTAGTTATCCCCTGCCTTTTTAAAAAAAAAAAAAAATCTTCTTACAGACAGCGTAAAGTCCTGGACCACACCTGAATTATACAGTTTATGAAACTTAACCAGTTTCAGTTAAGGACTGCCACATCAATGAAGTTCTCTCCTGTTTTCAGTAAAATGAATTCCATTTTCCTTAATATATATGATAAAATTTAAGATAAGATCATGTAAGATAGAATTTCAGATGAAGTTGGGAACGCAGTGGCAGTGCTGTTTGGAGAAGCCAAAGGTCATTTAAATGCATTTTCATGCATTTTCTACTCATGGTTAGTGGTACCCGAGTCTGATTCCCTAGAGAGACCATACAGCTCTAGGGATGATACCATACAGCTACCAAGTAAGAATTGAGAAGTTTCACTAAGGAACTTCCATTTCTTGACTCAGTAAGAAATGAGATGTTTCCTTCTTCACCTTCATTGTCAACTTTTTCCTGAAATGGTTGGACTTAGGCCAAACTGACCCTCTATCAGATGTTCCGGGAACTGTAAAATGTTTGTATTTCCAAACATTTAGGGAATTTACCTACCAATAAAGGAGTGTCATGTGATGCTTTCCCCCTCCCTCCTCCCTCTAATTTACATTATCTGAATTCTCTTCTCAGTACAAAAGAACCGATAGACTTAATCCTTTAGGTGGCATATGTAGAACCAGGAGTTCCCCGGTAATACAGTCCCATTGCAACTGCTCTTGCCCTTCCTACAAGAACTCTTCAGTTCTATTCTTTTATTATTATTATTGTTCAAAATATTACAGGCTATTCTAAGCATCTCCTCCTCTCCTTCTTACCCTTCTGCCCAAAGGTTTCATTTTCCTCAGAGGAAAAAAAAAAAAAAAATTCCTCCAGCTGTACACTTACTACATTCACAAATCCTGAATTTTTTTATTTCTGGGATTCTTACATTCTCTAAAAGTAATATTCTAATAAAATGTCACCATATTTTGCTCTTAAGCCTGAAAACTTATTTACATTTAGCAGAACAGATTTTTTAGAAGAATCAGTATTTTGCAGAAGCAAGTTTGCTTATTACTGTACTAAACCTCAGAGATGTTCCTGATGGGCTTCCCCGTAACATGCTCAGTGAGCATTTACCATAAGTTCCTTTATTCGGTCCTTCAAATTCCAGTTTATCTCATTTTTCAAAATGTTTTGGGGCATAAAATAGGATTTTTTTTTTTTTGCCTCCTGGGTTTATTATTCAGAAATAATATAATTGTTTTATTTACATTAGTTGCCCTTAAGATTCTGATTTCTTCCAGTGAGAAGAAACGCTCCTTTTTAATGACCTCTGACCTTTACGTGTCCATATATGAAAACAATGAATCCCTCTTGAGTTTTACTGACAGCGCAGTGCCCATGGTTTCCTTAAACTGTGCTTTCCAAAACTTCCAGAAATCTGACCATTATATACAGTAAAATGAGAGCGTCTGGGTCTACATGCACCCCTGTGAAACATCCCTTTAACTTTCTGATGATAACAGAAAGCCCAGCTTCCCTGAGACCCAGGTGTGTCCGTGGGTGCATGGGGAGCATGCCTGCCTGGCTTCGTGGTTCTAGGTGGCTGACTTGGTATATCCAGGTTTTCTTTCTGTTCCTTCTGCATGACTTGGGAAACTATTGGTGGGCGGGCTGTTCATAATGACTCTACCTTGGGTATCGGATATAATATACTAATGCAACTATTTTCAGCTCTTGAATGAAAATGACAAAAGGCAACCAAAAGCACAAGTTTTCCTTCCATACCATCTGAAATAACTTCTTAATCTTAATATCACGTTATTTTTCCTCTCCAAATACTAATCAATCTGCAAAGCCCTTTCTCAAGTTGCTGGTAATAGCTGTTATTCACAAGGGAAAGTGTCAAGTGTGCAAAACTGTTTCCCAAAGTAAGCGAGTAAAAGATGTTATTTTGTTTTTGACTCCAAGTGTATTTTTGATGGGAGAACATGAATGATACTTAGTGAGGCTTCCAGTTTATTCTTATGGTGTGTAATGGGAAAGACCAGTCGTGAAGTCTCACAAACGGTGGTGGTATGAGGGGAGTTGGGAGAAATGCTGGTTTGTATATACCCCAAGTTTATCATGATTGTCTGTGCTACCGAATGAAATATATTCCTACAGATCTGTTTCCATCTATTATTTCATGATAATGAAAACAGCATAGGCCAGCTCAGCATATGAAAGGATATAGGGGTAAAAAGAAAGAAAAGGTATGGGAGAGGGCTATTTAGTTTGTGTTGGGGGGAAAAAATGTTTCCAAAAGCCAGGAAGTTTGGTGTTGGTCTCTTTTCTTTAAGTTAAATTATTAAAAAGCCAGAAAATAATTGAGCTTTCTGTCTTCAGTTTGTTTATCAAGCCTGGATTACTGACCCTAAAACAGCACTCCGACAGAGGCGCAAAGAGAAAAAGATGTCTGCAAGAGAAGAGCAGAAAAGAAGGAAGAAAGGGCCTGGGGAGGGTGAGTGTCCAGGGCTGCAGCAGGCTCGGCCCACGCTCTGCTCCCGGGGCCTCGAACACAGCAGAGGAACTGCAAAGGACAGAGCCTTTGGAGAAATCAAATTCTTAAATTCTAAAGCATGCAAAGATTTCAACTTGTCCTTAATTGCTTGTGTCTGACCTTTGGAAGAAATTAAACCATAATTTAAGTTAAGATGCATTTTAAAATGAGGAGAGAGGCAAAATAAACCCAAAGAAAGTAGAAAGAAAAAATTAATTTTGAGAGAGATATTAAGAAAATAAATATAAGACAAGACTTTATCATTAAGTGAAAAGCTGCTTGTGGGAAAAACTAGTAGTAAAGATGAACCTTTGACATTTGATCAAGGAAAAAGGGAAAGTTTGCTTAAATATGTCTCCTGAACCCAAAATGGAACATAACTACCAATGCCATACTCAACATTATACATTCGAAGACACATGATAGAAGCCCATTTCTAAGCGGGAAAATAATAAAACACACTAATAGCGAAGTTAAAGTGCAATGGCACCACTCAGGAAAAAACATTTTCATTATGTAAATCTGACTGAAGATTAGTATTCTAATATAATAAAAATTTCAAAAAATCAGTAAAAGAAAAATTCAACCCAGTGGATGAACAAATATGAAAACAACTCACAAATCAGAAAACAAAAATGGCCTTATAAAAGGAGCTAGGCTTCAGTAGTAACATGAGAAACACAAACTAAGTATTTTGACATTTTGCATTTTTACCTATGAGACTGGCAAGAGCCTAAATATTTGATAACACTGTTCGGATCTAGTGGGAAGTTAAGTGCTTGCACACACTGTGAATGTTTTTGTAGGATCGTACATCTGCTTCAAAGAGCAATGTGTCAATATCTGTGAACATTTTAAATGTACACATCCTGTGGCTTGAGCAGAAGCAGGATTTGCTCTTGTGGGCAAGGACACATGTCTAAGGGCACTTATCAAACATTTGTGAATAACAAAGATTTAGAAACGTCTTAAATGCCTACATAAAGAAGAAGACTCAAGTAAATTATGTTACCAATATATAATGGAATACCCTTCAGTAGTTTAAAATATGATATGGATTACTTTGAACTGACTTGGAGAGCAATTCTTGACATATTGTTAAGTGAAAAGCATTATGTTGCAAAATGGCATACACATTACGAAACCGTTTATGAAACAAAGGAAACCTCCAGATAATATTTTGCATTTTAGTGGGTGCATATAATAGTGTATAAATGCAAGAGAAAGATCAGGAAGAATACTTAGAAAATTAATAACAATGAATACTTCTGGGGGAGGGGGTGGAGAGACTGAGATTAAATGGTATGATTCAAGGGAACTTTAGACATAATTGTTACATTTTTGTGCTTTACAAAGAAAGTGTATATTTGTGAAATTCAAAATATATTTAAATATAAAGAAAAGGAAAACATAATTTCTAACAGAGCTCTAATGGCACAACCATTCTCCTTTTTGACTATTCTGCCCCCTGCTGCCTCCTGGTAACTTTAATTTTATTTTACTTCATTGGTTTAATAAGACAAATTAAAACACAGCTGATGTAACAAGACATCAGTAAAGAGATAAATGCACAATCTGCCCCAGAAGCCCGTCTACTAAGCTACCAAATCTTCACAACGTGTTGCGTTCCCTTCCACTCCTTTCTCATGGGCATGCACACGTATGTGCAGGTGGTTTCCTTTCTTTGTTTTTCAAAAATGAGTTCATGCCATACAAACTGCTTGTATACGTTCATTAGCAATGTATCATGAACATTTCTCCAATTAAGTATTTATAAATCCATACCATCCTTTTTCAGTAGCTGCAAAATATTCTGTAATATGGATATGCATAATTTATTCAACTACTACATCACTAATGGACAAAAGTTTCCTTCCTGACTTTGCTACAGTGAACAGTGTTAAAGATATTCCTGAACAAAACTCCGTACATAGTCCGAGTGTATTTAAATGCACAGCAAAAGGTGAGAAAGAACCTGCACTTTCCACAGAATACATGATTAAATGGTGTGCCTTTTTTTACTTGAATTGGCATTTTTTGAAACAGTTTCAGTAATTTACACTCTACTGTGTGGGGTACAGGAGTGTGCTTTTTCCTGTAGCTTTATCCCCCAGGATAGTAGTATTTTTTTTTTATTGTTTGTCTTTCTCAGGGATGCTAAATGACTTTTATTTTTATTTGAATTTTCCTAACTAATATGACTGAATATTTTTTTTATTTTCTTGGTAATTTGTACTTCCAAACCTAAGATTTAAACATTTTTATCATTTTCTATAAAATCATTCTGTTGGGTTGCTTGTCCTTATTAATTTAGGAAATACTTATGTGTTAAGGATATTACCCTTTTTATACATTAAAACATTTCTCTAATTCAATGCCTATCTTTTTATTTAGTTTATAATATTTTATCTAAACAATTTTTAATTTTTTCTGAATCATGTAAGTCTGAATGTCTTTTTGCAGTTTCTAGGTTTCCATTTTGCTTAAGAAAGCCCTCCCCCCAAATTACACTAATGTTTTCCTATATTTCCTCCTAATTTTACTTACATTTTGAAGTTTTTATTATTTTATAAAGTAGAGATCTAATTTACTTTTAGGTCGATAGCCAATTATGCTATCCCTATTTATTAAGTGATTCTTCCTTTTTCTATTGAATTTAAATGCTACTTTTGTCAATATCATGTTTTCATTACTTTGAGGCATGTTTCTGAACTCTGTATGCTGACCCACTATCCTACTATCTAGGTCCAGGCCAATGTCATATATTGTTTGTTTGTTTGATTAGGGTCTTTTAAAACTCTTTATTTTATTTTAATTTTCAATTACAGTTTACATTCAATATTTATATTAGTTTCAGGAGTTTAGCATTGTGGTTGGACAATCATATATTTTACAGTGATATTTCAAGTACCTACCTGGCACCATACATAGTTATTATAATTTTATCACTGCCATATATATATATGTTTCTTTCTTTTTTTTAATTTTTGTTGCCAGTATTACAGATGTGCCCATTTTCTCCCCCTTGCCCCCTCCACCCAGCTCCTGCCCCACCCCAGTCCCTCACCACACTATCGCCTGTGTCCACGGGCTAAGCGCATATGCATGCGTGTTCTCCGATTAATCTCTTCCCGTCCCCGCCATCCCCCTTCCGTCTGAGACCTGTCAGTCTGTTGCAGGTATCCGTGCCTCTGGTCCTGTTTTGTTGATCACTTCATCTTGTTCATTACATTCCACGTACAAGCGGGTCATGTGGCTGTGAGCCCAGTAGCCCCCGAGCTAGTGCCGCACACTCTTCTCACCGCCCCCTTTCTTTCCCTCAGTATGGTGTTTGCTATTCTCAGATAGTTGTTCTTCCAAAATTATGCGACCAGTTCTAAAAATGTGTCCTCTAATCATCTTGTAAATATTTCATCTACTCTGTATCGTGAAGATTATTTCAGGTGCAGATGCACCACCGTTTACCTTTAAATCGAAGGCAGCAGTATTTCAAAGATATTGGGACTGAAATCCATTTTTATTTAATTACTTAATAAATATTGATCCAGTGCCTTCTTGGGACAAGGTGTCGCTCTTCTAGGTTACTTCTAGGCGGATAAGGCGCGTCGATTCTGAAGTGCAGGTGCTGCAGTGTTCTCTCTGCAGTGACTCATTTGCCCCTTACAACAGCCCAAGGCATTTTACTCTCCGGGCCCCACAGGTGAGGAAATGAGGTCCCCGAGGGTGAACTAACCTGCCTAAGGTCACAGAGCCACACAGCAGGTGCTGGGTCTGGAATTCATAACAGGCATCCTGGCTCTAGATCCTTCTAACTTAACCATTAGGGAACACAAGTATGGGGGAAGGTGAGGAACCCCAATGACATAGAAGCTGCAAAGTTTCATTTAAAGTATAAGTATAGATAAAATAGTGTGGGACCAGAGGAGAAAAAGTGACTTTTAGCAGAGGGTGTAAAGGAATGTAATACTTCTTGAAAAACATAGTGGTTGAACTGAGCCTGCCATTCTGGTAGAAGAAAGCAAGGTCAGCTTAGCTGGTAAAAACAAGATGTGAAACAGAGTAGCAGAAAATAAGTTTGGGAAGATTAATTGGAGTCAGATCATTAATGGTCTTTGATAAGGTTAGCATTTAATATACCCTAAATAAATCTAACTGCTGTTTATTGAACACTCTTACAGGCCCTGTGGAGTGGGAAGACCGAGAGGAAGAGCCAGCCAAAAAGAAATCGGATGGACCAGGTAATAAAATAAAGACAAATTTGACCTGGGAGAAACGTGAAAATGTTACTTGCCCAAATGTTTATGTAATGAAAAGCTGCCTGAAAAGAATTAATCGAATACTGTTTCTGGACTGTGGCTAAATAATCAGTGTCCTTTGAAATCTCATCTCTAGTGAAACTGCAAAGTGACACCTAAAAGTAGATCTGCCCCTTGCGCTGTTGGGTTAAATGTTGATCAGAGTCCATTTGTAAATTCTGTTATTCAAGCACCTATGAAAGGGGGTGTGGGAGAGCAAATTATAAATGTCCCATAGAAGCCATCAGAATAGAGGTACAAAAAACTATTGTCAATTAATTTTAAAGAATATAGAAAGAGGGAGTTAAGGAAGAGGTAAGTAGAATTGGGGAAGTGAGAGGTACTCTAGGAGCTTGGGCCAACCTCCTCACGAGTTTGCTCAGGATTCCAGAGCTATAGTCAGGGACAGAATCCCTATCTTCTAACTCCCAGCACCATCATGGTGCCATTTGGGTTTCACATAGTATGTGATTGGGAGGAAAATTTCTCCATGCAGGAAAAAAAAAAAAAGGCAAAACAAAATTCTCCAAATGAAACGAACTCAAATGCCTCTCTAGTTATGAAAGTGCTGTTTACTCTATTGCTCTGGGTTGGAACTCCCGTGTACATTGTTTATCAGCAGGCAAGGTTTTCAGGCTTTTTTACTCTGGACACAAATACTCCAAGGATGCCACCTGCTGGTTCAAAATGAGACTTCTTGAAGGACATCTAATGCCCTCTGTGGCACAATTCTTAAACCTGGCCTCCATTTCCAGATAATTTCATTTACACGTATGTGGAGCCAGATATTCTGTTATTGCTACAAAGCCTTATACAGTAATAGTAGCTAACCCTTTAGATGGCACATCTTCTTTGCCAGGCACTTTCCCAAGAGCTTTAGACATATTAACCTGTTTAACCCCCTCAAAGACCCTGTTCCTCATTTAACAGTTAAGAAACTGAGGCAGAGAAAGATTAGCTGACTTTTCAAAGCCTACATAGCCACCAAGAGGTAGAGTGAGGGCTTGAACCCAAGGAGTCTGAACCCAGAGTTTGTCCTCTTAACAACCATGTTATACTGCCTCTATGATTAAAGATAAGTAAAAATAAAAATCCTAATTTCACGTGTTAGTTTGTGATCACCCAAGTTCATAAAGCGCATGTTATGTACGTCTCCAACACAGCAATTTTAGTTTTAACATCAAGACCACCATAAGCAAAACTGTGAAATAATTATATTTCTCTTTGCCACCTCTAGGGAATAACTGTGAATATGAGAAAAAAATAAATTGTCAAAAATATAAGATGCTGGTAACATTTATTAATAGTTGTAACTAACTTCAAGTCTGTCAGCCTCCAGGGGTTGAACTTGCCTTTGATGTCTACATAAAATGGCTAGAGGTTCTATTTAAACTACTGTGGGAAATGCATGCCTTGCTCAAGATCAAAACAGACACAGGAGTATGGGGTAGAAAGAGGTGTGGGTGTCCCTAGGGCTCTCTGGCTCAGAGTTGCTCTTCTGTGGAATCTGTAGCAGCTCACTCCATGCAGCTTCATGAAGCAACTGCTCCCTTCCCGGGCTTCTTTGTTCAATTGAAATTACTCTCTCATGTCCCTTCTTCCTAAAGTACACTGCGTATAAGGTTGTGTCAAGGTTTGGAGGGATGGTGAGAGGCAGTGACAGCTTAGCAGGAAACTACTTCACGGGGAAAGTCAAGGATCACTATTCTCACCTCAGCAGATTTCCCACCAGATCTCGGGGGCCTAGCTCAGGGCTCCTTCCTTCCAGGCCCTTCTCATTTAATCATTCCCCCATCTCCTCTTCCACATTCCAGTTTTCTTCTTAGCTACCAGCTGGCCACTGCAAGGTTCTTGTTACGCCAGCAGGTAGAATTGTTTAACTTTTGTTTGTCTCTCTTGCCCAACTGGACTCTGTCTGGAGGCCATCGCATATAAAGCTAAGCTTCTTCTGGTGTTTTCATTTTGAAAAGAACAAACATTTACCTGGGAGAAAGTCTGCCTTCCTCCTAGGTCACTCAATTCTCAAATTCTTTTTAGTTTTTTTTTTAACCATTATAAAGTTAAGCTTTAGTTCACACTGTGGTATGAGAATTAAAGTAGAGAGAGGATCACCCGGCCGGGCGTGGCTCAGCGGTTGAGCGTCGACCTAGGATCCAGGCAATCGGGGTTCGATTACCGGTCAGGGCACATGCCCTGGTTGTGGGCTCGATCAATGACTCTCTCATCATTGATGTTTTTCTCTCTCTCTCTCCCTCTCCTCTCTCTGAAATCAATAAAGATATATTTAAATAATAATAAAGTAGAGAGAGGATTGATGGAGAGCAGGGGTGAGTCACGCAGTGATCATACCTGATTGTATTGGATTTGAGGTCAGGAAACTATACCTGCCACCTGTGTTTATATGGCTTGTTAGCTAAGGATGACTTTTATATTTTTAACACTTGAAAAAAATTTTAAAGAGAAGTATTTCATGACATATGAAAATTATGAAACTCAAATTTCAGTGTCTGTAAATAAAGTTTCATTGGAAACCCTGTCATGCCAATTCATAGACAGTTCATGCATTGCCTACAGCTGCTTGCACATGACAACAGAGAGTGATTAGTTGCAACACAGACAGTATGGCCTAGAAAGCCAAAAATATTTACTGTCACGCCCTGTCCAGAAAAAGTGTGTTGACCCCTGCACACGATCATAAAGACTATAAGCATTAATCCTAAATTCATTAAGGTTTTACTATAATATTTGAATCTGGTTTTCTTTTCTTTCTTTCCTTTTTTTTCTTTTTTTTTTTTGGTGTGGGAAGGGTGAGAGATGCAAATTGTTTTCTTGGTGGTGGTGTTTGTTTTCAGTAAACAGCAAGACAATTCTTAATTCATTGTCACGTTTACTAAGTATTCACTTTATTGTAATCAAGGTTTGAAATAGTTAATAAAACTAAATTTTTTAAGTGCACACATTGATCAAAACTTGGTGGCATGTCTTGAAGGGTTCCTTGGATACCAGTTGAGAAACTATTGGCTACATGAACAAATGAACGAGACAGTTCATATGGGATCTTCTCTGTTTTATTTAGATTCAGACCTTAAAAAAAGTTAGGTCACAGCTGTGGAACCTCCTCAAACCTGATCAGTGGTCAGGGAGCTCACGTTGAATTCTCTGAGGGCACTGGCACGGCACGTGCTGCATGGAGACACATTAGGGGCCCGGTGGCAATCTAGAGCTGAGCTTATCACACCGGCAGCTTTCCCAGGCTCCCCAAGTCACAGCATAGACAAGGAGGCGAACCCAAGTACATCAGGGATTTCACGGCTTGGTTTGGGGAGGATTGATCGCATGTGCAATATTTTGTAGTCAGCACAGCTTAATATAATTAAGAATAATGATAGCTCAGTGGTTACATATATACTATTAGTGCCTGTTCCGAACGCTACGGAATCGCTTTCAGGTGATTTAACTGACATGCAACTGCAGTGGGAAGTATCAAATTCTTACTGAATCAACAGAATTGTTTCCAACAACTATGATTACTTAAGAAAAGACTTACAGAAAAAGCACTACAGGACCGTTACCTGGATAAACCTGTTTCTATCCCTCTGTCAATAGCAGAAATGTCTTTGAATGCAATCTCTGATTTTAACCAAACCTATTATCTGTATATGAATCTATTCTGGCATGTTTTGACCAAAGATTAACAGTTCTGCCCTGGTTTGGTTTGGATGCTGGAGCTGCACGTGGAGAAAGTCTCGGTGGCAGCTTCCTATAGGGCGGCGGCCGCCCCGCGCCCCCTCCGCATGAGGAATGGCGGGCCAGAACTGTTCTGCCTCTGGTAAAGCATCACTGCTACACACAACAAAATGGCCTTTTGTTCCTTTGAAATTGTGTTTCTTTTTCTTCCTCCTAGATAATATCATCAAGAGGATATTTAATATTTTGAAATTTACCTGGGTCCTCTTTCTGGCAACAGTGGATAGTTTCACAACTTGGCTTAACTCCATTTCAAGGGAGCATATTGATATATCTACAGTTTTGAGAATCGAAAGATGCATGCTGACCAGAGAAATTAAAAAGGTAACACTCTTGGAATAATTCTTTTTGCTGCTTCCCACATTATAAAAATTGTGAAAGTCAATATCCAGAACTCCAAGTAGGAAAAGACAAAATCCTTTCTTTCCAGACTGTCTTTACATACCCCTTTATTTTCCTGTATGTTTAAATCTGTTTCATGCTCAGAATTAAAATCAGACTGTACACACACACAGTGCTGGGAGAGTGGCCAGCTTATTTATTCTATCCCCTTGCCTCATCAGAGTTTGCAGGTGCACAGACTCTGCCGAGCCTAATAAAGGATTACGCTATTTAGTCTGAGAAGTTTGATCCTCAGAAGTTTGAGGATATATGCAGAGCAACAAATTATAGTCATATAAGGCTTATATATTATATTTAAAAATAATAGTTCATTTCTGGAAAAGTTACTGTTACATACATACTCATACATAGCTACAAACTTACATATAAGAAGGAATTTCTTTTTTAAATTTTATTTAAAATAATTGATATACAACATTATATTAGTTTCAGGTGTACAACATAAAGATTTGATATTTATATATATTATGAAATGATCACCACAATAAGTCTACTTAACATTCATTACCACACATAGTTACAATTTTTTGTCTTGTAAATTTTTAAGATCTACTCTTTTAGTAACTTTCAAATTCATTAGTCCTTCCTTATCCATGGTTTTACTTTTTGTGCTTGGTCAACCACGATCCAAAAATATTAAATGGAAAATTTCAGAAATTGACAATTCCTAAGTTCTAAACTGCTTGCCGGGCTGAGTAGGGTGGTGCAGCCTCACACCACCCCGCCCAGGATGTGGGCCACCCTTGTCCATCCCGCCCAGGATGTGGGCCACTTTGTCCAGCGTCTCCACGCCGTGTGCCCCCCTGCCCGTTAGTCCCTTAGTGGCCACGTGGGTCATCAGATCCACTGTGGTGGCATAACAGTGCTTGTGTCCGAGTGACCCTTATTTTATTTAATAATGGCCGAAAGTGCAACAGAAATGATGCTGGACATTCGGGTATGCCAAAGAGAAGCCATAAGGTGCTTACGTTAAGCGAAAAGGTGAAAGTTATTGGTTTAATAAGGAAAAGAAATGGTCGTATACTGAGGTTGTTAAGACCTGGGTAAGAATGAATCTTCTATTGGTGAAATTGTGAAGAAAGATGAAAAAATTCTGTCCTAGTTTGCTGAGAAAGAGACCACTTCACATAACTTTTATTACTGTTATAATGGTTCTAATTTATTATTAGTTATTGTTGTTAATCTGTTACTATGCCTAATTTATAAATTAAACTTTATCATAGGTATGTATGTGTAGGGAAAAACATAGTATACATAGGGTTCAGCACTCTGCACGGTTTCAGGCCCCACCTGGAGGCCTTGAACTGTGTCCCCCGTGGGTGAGGAGGGCCTCCCACGTACAGGACAGTGCTACTAGCTATAGTGACCGTGCTGCACGTTACATCCCCACGGCACGTATTTTTTCAACTGGAAGTTTATAACTTTTGACCGTCTGCATCCGTAAGCAAGAGGGGTTTCTTGTACAGCATTACCCGCTAATGTTGGATACCGTTAATTCAATGAGTTGGCGTCAGCCCCCAGCTTCACTAGCTCGGTGTTACTCTGCTCAAGGTGTGCATGGTATCAGGCTGGGCGTTGTCAGTACTGAGAACTGCCAGGTGGCTGCAGAGAGAAGTAAGGACTGTGGCAATGTCTCCTTCGCTACAGGGCAACGTTCCCACTCGGGAAAGCATCCACATGTACTATCAGAACCACATCATGAACCTCTCCAGAGAGTCGGGCCTGGACACACTCGACGGTCGTCCCGGTGCCGCCTCAGGCGCACAGACAGCCCGCAGGATGGATAGCTTAGATTCCCATGACAGCATCTCCAGGTATTTCACGTTCTAAACAGTGGGTTTGGTTTTGACAAAGGTAAAAGCGGTGGACTTCATCAATATGAGAAATGAATGGATGAGGCGAAGTTAAACAGAACTTACCTGGATCCCCACCCTCTTGGATGTCTCCATAGGTACAGCAAAGCTGAAGAAATATTGTCCTCCCCTAGACTGAGAGAGAGAAAATCAGGCATCAGTGAAACACTATTAGAAACACCTGTAGGATTCACAGGCACAGGATAGTGGTTTCCAAGCTGGAGACAAGTAAGGATGAACCTTCCCAATGACAAAATTACTATTTGTGTCAAGGTCTGCAGCTCCATTTAAAAATGCCTTTTCACAAAATATCTTCTATACTAGTATCTCTACCACCTGTTGTTATCTTTGATCTTTTTCTTTCAGAGTGGTTACTTATGATTCATAATAAAAGTCCAAGAAGCGATTGCATCAGCTTCCATCTTCCCTGCAGTGTGTGATCACACGCATTGTCTCATAACATGCATTGATCACTTGCCGTGGGCCAGCACCAAGTCTGTGTATGGGTTACCTCCGTTTATCCTATGAGATGCATAATGTTATCACCCACAGTTTACAGAAGGCAAAGTTCAGTTACAGAGAGGTTAAGTAACTTACCCAAAGTCCCACAGCTTGAAAGAATATAGAAGCAGACTCAGGATCTAAAACCGCCTAGTTCAGCTCAGAGCACAGCCTCACAGCCACCAAATGGTGTGCTGCCTCTCATTGCCTCTTCAGGCCAGCTCTGGGAATCGACCTGTCTTTCCTACTGCCATCCCAGAAAAGCCACAGTGTTTTAGATAGCTGCTGTCCATTGTACAGATCTAACTTTCTAGTTTAAGCAGAAGTCCTGTCTTAGGAGGAAAATGACATGCCTAAGGAAATTAGCTGGACTGAATGAATTACACCTTGTGTCCATCTCATAGGTAAAGTTGTATCACTGAGGACATTCACGTATTTATTGTTTTCATTTAACATGTTAAAAAGCACCTATTCCATGCCAGACCCTGGGCTTGATTCTGGGATAGACACATAAAGACAAGTGGTTTGAACCTGGGAAGAAAGATTCACCTGCAGGATTATTTGTGGAATTTTGGCCTGAAATTCCTGCTGTATAAGGACATCAGAGATGGGCCGTGTTCCCACTGCTGGTTAGAGAAGCTCCTGGATTACTCCCAGTCATACTTCATATGCTGAGCAAGGCACCCAGCTCTAGTGGACTACTTGTCCTTCACAAATACTGAATTTGTTGCAAGATGAAAGAGGGGAAGGAACTAGGCTGTTTTATCAATACCAAGTTATCAAACCCAAAATGGATAGTTAGAAGTTGAAATTGCAACCTGAATGGGGAGAGGTGGGTAAAAAAATGTTTATTTTGAAGTGCTATTTTAAGCTGTTGAATTGCTATATTTGAGCTTCTCTAATTGTGCCTATTTTTTATTCTAATAATCTATTTGATGCAGATCTAAATTAATTGGTAATGGGAGAATATCATATATATATATATA